GCACACAGCCAATATAGTTCAACATTTGATATTTTATATAGAATATCAAATGAGTTGAAATTACTTCTTTGTGTAGACCACAGTTACCCTTCCAGGTACTTTGGAGAAATGCCTTCACACTAATCAATATTGTTACTCTGTCAACTTATAACTGAACAAATGATCAAAATAATTATACATTTGTTATGCAACATGTTGATGGTGGGTGAAACAAGGTCTCAGACATTCAGACCGAATATCATCCAGCTTTCAACTAGAAATCAATGTTTCAATCCTGGTTGGTGCTCACTGGGTTGAGGGAATGTGTTCAATGTGCAGACAGGAAAACTGCATTCTTCTCTCATTATGTGTAGAGAATTGGGTTCGGGTTAGGGTAAGGTGCACTTACATTGCACTGACATTATGAACAGTTTGGTTTGTGGTATGTGTCAATGACTGTCATTGTCTCAGACATTAAGCTAAATCACTGTGTATACACTCTAAACAGGAGTTGAGTTTCCATGATGATGGGTGATGTCTTTGGTTGACATGAATGCATTGTTCTTCTCTCACCTCCTCTGTAACTCTCTTTGTCACTCTCTCATCAGGACATGGGCACTGTGATTTTGGGCAAACTCGAGTCAGGCTCCATCAGTAAAGCACAGCAGCTGGTCATGATGCCAAACAGGGTAAGATATGCCACAGGGTTTTTCTCCTATTAGCTGGAACCGAGAAAGACAAGAATGAGAGCGAAAACTTCCCTGAAACTTAACCGCATAACTTGTTATTGGTTGAATAGTGTGAATGCAGAATGTCCATAAAATTGTTAAAAATGTTTTAAACATACTAACTATTTATAATATGTTAGTTTTATCATGCATCATTTGTGTCAACACTGCTGAAATACGTCATGTTGTTCATGGCTGGAGTAATGAAGTACAGGTATAATGGGCTACTTGCCAGGAGTCATGAAAAAATAAATCAAACAATGTAAATATAATTACTAACAACTATAGTCAACTAGATACCTTCAGATAAGTCCTACACATCACATTTAACTTCAAACAAATTGTCCTTTTCTTAATGAGAAATGCATGCTCAGTGTGGCCCTGTTGTCACTGATATCTGCTCTACAACGCCAGTAACTGATGCATTCTGCCTGACTGTTCTCAAATGCAACTACTGCTCTGTCTTTTGTGGTTATGTTGTCTAATTTACACCGTCAACTGCACACATCTTCCTTCCCTCCGCCCCTCTCCTGGTCTCATTCCACCTTTCTGTCTGTGCCCTCTCTCCTCACGCAGCATGTGGTGGAGGTGTTGAGTCTCCTGTCAGATGATGTAGAGACAGACGATGCTGGACCAGGTGAAAACCTCAAGCTGCGGCTGAAGGGCATTGAGGAGGAGGAGATCCTGCCTGGCTTTATCCTGTGTAACGCTGAGAACCTCTGCCACTCAGGGCGCACCTTCGACGCCCAGGTCAGTATCACCGCAGCAGCTCATTCAAGTTCATTTGTATGTGAGCAGCACATATTGTGATAAATGGTGATCAGATGAAAGTGCACTTTAGGGGTTCCATGAAAACATTTTCGTTCAGTGTATAGTATAGTATAGTGGTCACCCAACAATGCAAAGACCAGGGTTCACTTTCCAGCAACAGTGACAGTGTTTAGGATGGTAAACCACTTTTTCTCCTTCCATTCACTATCCATTTGGCTGGTGGACAAAAATGTATATTTTGATCCTGCCATCGATGGACCACATAGTGGTTGTAGGACTAGGAAGTCAATCTGTTCCTAAAAGTTGGGGGAAATGGTTCATTTTAACTGTTGTGTTTTAATTGGACTGTAATAGCCTTAAGGCTTTTATTATACAACAAGTTATAATGAAAATTTTTTTTTTTATTTTTTTTTTTAGCTCGGTCATCATTACTTATGTAAATCAAAAATCTTTTAATATTTGAAATGAAACAGTCTGGTCATCATATTTGTTGTCTCCTGGCATGTTCCCCCTTCATTTATAAAAAATCCCTATTTTTTTTGCACAAGTTCAAGAGCAAAGCGGTAAACGGGTGGTTTATCGTGCTAAGAGCTTATGTTTCATTATTTGAACACCCCCAATAAATAAAACAGTTGGTATAAATTGACTGCAGGCGGGTAGATTTTTCCACCTGGGCAAGTAGAAAACAAACATTAAAGTTGCACCCTGGTGCTTGGATTTTACTCTTAAAAAGCTGTACACACCCTGTGTTACCTGGTTACCTTTGAGCAAACTGCGCTGTGGTGCTGCTCAGATGCCAGCGGAGTAGAAATTAGGTGCTGCATTGGGAGCCTTCATTAGTGACAGAATGTGTGTTGTTTTTGGATCTTCACTCATAATCACTGTAATCCCTCTTTTCCTCACAGATTGTCATCATTGAACACAAATCCATCATCTGTCCAGGTTACAACGCAGTCCTTCACATTCACACCTGCATTGAAGAAGTGCAAATTACAGTAAGACTTGAACTCCAACACATGAGGCCTGCACAGCCCCTTATTAAAGCTGTTGAGGAATAATGACTTGTTGAGTGTTAATGGTGTAATGTTCTTTATCACAGCTCTTTGGTTTAGCACATGTAACTGGTGGATGTTCCGGACTATTGACTGTATTATAGTTGTGTCTGTGCTGATGATCTGTCTCCCTGTGCTCCGTCCACAGGCCTTAATCTGTCTGGTAGACAAGAAGTCGGGAGAGAAGAGTAAGACACGACCACGATTTGTCAAACAGGACCAGGTCTGCATCGCCCGTCTGCGCACGGCAGGAACCATTTGCCTCGAGACCTTTAAAGACTTTCCTCAGATGGGACGGTTTACCTTACGGGACGAAGGTAGAGCTTCGAAGGACACTTGTTTTTCTGTATTCTTTTCTTGATTAACAAATTATTTTACTACATGTCAGAGAAAATGGTGATAAAATAACTTAGTTTGATGTGATGTCTTCAAACATCTTGCTTTGTTCAACCAATTTGATTGTTCAATCAAGTCATTAATAATTTCAGCTCTACAGCTAACTAATAATAAACACCATCATCCTACTCTTGCTGTCATATTAGACCATAATCTTAATGTGAGTTATACCAGTCTCAATAACTGAACCTACACAAAGTCTCTGTAGTCTTCAAAATGCCAAAATCATCTAATAATAATAATCTTTCATCAAACAGCATAGTACCGGCTAAATTTTAGGGCCAACTTAGAACTTCATTAATTCCAGAGGAAATGGCTGTGCCCAAAGTGCTCAATAGTCCTCATTAAGGAATGTTTTATATATACATACATGGTGAAATTCACAATGCATGTATACGCAAATAAAATAGAATAAAAGTAGAAAAACACTTTTATTAGCAAAGAGCCATGTGCAAATGATTGAGGTAGTAGCTTTAAGAGGTTAGAAACCCTTTTAGCTGTCTCTTGTTAACATGGCAGCTGTAGATGAGTGTTAACTCAGTAACGCTACAGTGAAAAGTTTTTCTGCTCTCTGCAGCTGGTGTCTGCATTCAGACAAAGATTGTTTGTCATTACCGAGATGCATCACTCTGTGACACTACTGTACGACCGCCAGCACTTTTCTGTTGACCAACAGAGTGGTGACTCTTCTCTAAAAAAAACTATCAGCTAATCAGTTTCCAACATTATCACTCGTGTAAACCAAAAATATTTTAATTGGAACGATATCGTCATCATATTTGTTGTTTCCTGGCACGTTCACTCGTCATTCATAGCTTGATAAGTCCTCAGTTGATCCTTAACTGTTGAAATTAGCATTAAAATAATCTGATCAAAATGGAGCTGCACAGTGAAATCTTATCAGTAGCATAATACATTAATTGATTTAATGATTTTTCCGTCGATATTTTTTATAGTTTTTAGCAGGTGTATACTACTAAGCCTGTATGATTGCTGTCATTGTAAGTTCTGGCTCAGGTCAACCCTTCAGAGTCCGAACAAAAATGGCAAATGCTGGAAAGTAGCAGGGTCCCATTTTAGGCTAATAAATGACATGGTATGGGATCAGTGCAGACACAATTACTCGCCGATAGCACATTTTAGGCAGTATTGGATTTAAATAAATCAATTTGATATTGATTCCTGTTAGTGAAGCTGAGCCAGAACTGTGATGCTCTTTGTCTGCGTGTGTTTCAGGTAAGACCATCGCCATCGGTAAGGTGCTGAAGCTGGTTGCCGAGCGGGACTGAAGACTATGGAGCTGCCTGCGAGTCCCGGTGAGAAGGAACGGGCGGAGCTCGGTCATAACCCGCCCACACTGTTGTCAGCGGCGACGGCACCTCCCTGTCACGCCCCCCTTCCGCGTGCCGAAGATCAGCTTCAGAAAAAATACTCGTGAAAAAGAAAAAACCTGTTTTTAAAGCAAATGACAAACCAAGATGAAGTCCACACGAGTCAGCTTTCTCATATTGAGAGCTCAGCTATGCCATTTCTGGGTTAGCCCTACCACCACCTCTCCCACCTCCCTCCTCTGGTCTACTCATCAGTACATGATTTTTTTTTTTCTTCCAGATATTTTTTTTTCTTGCTCATAAATGACAATGAAAAATGGCAGAAGTTATATCTCTAAACAGATGTGGACCAGGGTTTTGCTTGGAATATAGAAAACGATTTTCAGTAAGTAAAATTGCAAAAGAAATTGTTTGAAAGAACTTAAACCAGTTGAAACCAAAATGTTTATCTTGGGTGTACATGTCTCCCTTTGCTTTTACCCACTTTTTGGTTTCTCATGTGACGTTCTGGCAGTGTGCTTGAGCGTGTTCAAATGTTATTAAAGCAAACAACTATGACAATAAAATAATAAATTGGGAAAACAAAGAGTGTTCATTTTCAGACCACATTGTGTCTGGTTTCATATTTCACAGTTCATGCTGAAGTTGACTTTGTGGTGGTGGAGTTCACGAAGCACCGGTTGGTCACATGAAACTCCTCAAAATGCAGTTTTCAATTTAAACATTGTCTGGGGACATGTTGAACAATTTCACTAAATATATAGAAAATGTAAAAAATAAAATTAGCATTTATTAATTTACTGTTCAAGGTCCAGTGTGTTGGATTTAGTGACCTCTAGCAGTGAGTCACAACTCCCTCACTTCACCCTCCCCTTCCAAGCGCAAGGAGAAACTACAGTGGTCTCAAAACGTGACCTTCCCTATCTATAGCAGCCTCCATAGAAGAGGACCCACTCCCTCTGTCCATTAAAAACAGCTCATTCTAAGTCAACCTCTCAAGTGATTATTCACAAATGAAAACATACCTATGTATATTATGTTTCTGACAATAGATCCTCCTAAATGTTACACACTGGACCTTTACATTAAATTAGCTGGGTCTATATTATCACAGATTATCAGTCAGTACAATAGTGTCATGGGTAACAAATGCCACTTCAGAAGTACTAAGATATGTTTGGGATGATTTAGAAACAGTGTCACCATATCAGATTGTTCACCAGAGAGCACTGACAAGTTTATTTTTACACAAAAATCTCCTGCTCACTTTAAAACCCTTGACAAATGTATGTCTTTATACATATACAGTCCAATAATCATATTCTTTGCCTTTAATGCATGTCTGGAGAAGATATGTTTGTTGTGCCAAAAAAGTATTTCCAAACTCTTAAGGTATCTACTCCTAATCTAGAATCAATAAATGTGCAAATGTTGTTACTTTTTTCCTGCTGTGTCATCCCCACTTGTTTTACTTATAGTCATGCATCACTCATGTAGGCCGGGTTCATTCCACTGATACAGAACAAATACACCAGCAGGTGGCGTCTGCTCTGCTAACTGCTACAGTAAGAAAAATTTAAATGAAAGTGAATGCAGTTGAAGTACATTTGAATTTAAAGCTGCAGTAGGTAACTTCAATCAAAATGTCATTATTGTTGAAACTTTCACTATATCCTGACAGTAGTACATGAGACAGATAATCTGTGAAACAATCAGGTTCCTCTGGCTCCTCCTAGTGCTGCTGATGGTATTTGCAAGAATCCACCGAGCCTGAATGAAAACCAATCCGAGCTGAGAAAGGTTGTTGATTGTTGGGTCCCAGGTTGTCAAACACAGACGCTTTGGGTTGGTGCCTTAAACATAGTTGATTGTTGTGTCCCCAAAGTACATATACTCAAACACTGTACCTTTACACTATTTATACTTTACCTCAAACAGAAGTATGTCCATACTACTTTATACTTGGAAACATTTTACTTTTTACTCCACAGCTGTAGTTACCAGTTAGATACAGTACTGAGATTTTACCTTAAGAAACACAAACATGAATTACGCATATAAAATACACAACCTTTTAGGCTTGAGACCCTTTAAAAAAATCTGTCTGGTTGGGGTTTAGCAGCAGCCTCCATGGTTGGCAAATTAAGTTAAAATGGATGTTGTGAACTTACCTTTTTATAGCTTCAAATAACTAAAACCAAACAGATTAGAAAATTGAACACTTGAACATACATCAGCATGATAAGAACTACATAAAATGACAGAAACCATCTTTGGGGAAATAATATGTGACGTGTATGTGTGATTTTTTAGTTTGGACCATGTCCCATCTGCTAACATGGCAGCAGCAGGCTTTATAGCCAGCCACCAGCAGAGATGCTCTCATGTCATCCATATTTAATTCTGTCGATGCAGAACTTCTCTCAACCCCTCAGGTTGGGAACCATAGGACTAAACTGTACATAAAGTAAAGCTCCACCTTGACAGTATAATGCAACTTACACAGTGATGAATCAGTATTAACAGCCATATATAATAATATATCAGTCACAGGAGCAGGTTGAGTACTTCTACTTTTGATACTTAAAGTAGGATTGTGAACACAGCATTTTAAATTGTAGTAGAATATTTTTGCTATAATGGATCTCTGTTCATTATGTCTTTTTCTCAAATAGTACAATTTTATTCTCTATCTACCTTTTATTATATTAGAATATGACTAATCCTCGTGCAGGTGGATTAGTGGGATGCTGGGACTCTGGATGGTGGGTGAGCTCAGTGCAGTGGGTGTGGCTTTGGTGAGAGCAGTTGTCCAGCAGCAGTCCGGCCGTGGTCGCCGTCCGTCCAACAGAGACACACAGAAAGGCAGAAGGTAAGTTGGAGAGTACCATTTAACATTTTTTATCATTTAATACTTGTTTATTTATTGTGTTTACTTTATGTAGCTTATAAATGAATGACTGATTCAGATGGTTCACATTGTCCCAACTACAGGTTCACAGCTTACTGGGAACAATTTTTAAAATGCAGACTTTTTTGTTTTGTTTCTAAAACTAAAAGATTTGGGTCAATTACCTAAACAACAGAATATCATTAGGTCACCAAAGCTTTCTAGAGTATATATGTTTTCTCAGTGTGTTGTAGAGAAATACAGCAGAAGAAACACACACAATTTTTCATGTTCATTATCATCAGTCACTACTATTAGTTGTTGCTACTGTTATTGCTGTGCACCTCTGTCTGTCTGTCTGTCTCTCTCTCTCTCTTTCACCCCAACTGGTCGAGACAGACGACCACCCACCTAGAGCCGGAGGATCTGTCCTAGGTTTCTGCCTTTTAACAGGCAGTTTTTCCTTGCCCCTGTCTCCAAGGTCTTGCTCATGGTGGTACTGTTGGGTCTCTGTAAATAATGTTATAAAGAGTTCGGTCTAGACCTGCTCTATTTGAAAAGTGTCCTGAGATAACTTCTGTTATGAATTGGTGCTATACAAATAAAATTGAATTGAATTGAACTAACAAATTATAGATGACATCACATCACATTTCGACAATGAGACAGTTCAGGTGATTACACACTAATGGAAACATAGCTATGAATATTATATTCCATTTCTTACAACAGATCCTCCTCAATGTTACACACTGAACCTTTAACAGATAATAGTGGCATGTAACTACAGCCTGTCACATCTCTAATGTTACTACAACACTAGAAAACACTATCAGATATAGCTAGCTAACTGACTAACGATTAATGTAGATTAGGTATCCATTGTGTCTCATTTACATTATCTCTCTGTAGCTCTGTATCACAAGTGTTCTGTTCTGCAGCAAAACACGAGCTAACTAGCTAGCTAACTAACGATTAATGTGTCTTATCCACAAGCAGTGACTGATGTAGCTAGCTAGCTGTTTAGCTTAATGAGTGTAGTTAGTTTAGTGTTTTGCTAATATTAGCTAAATGTAGCACTAAACACAAAGTACAGCTGATTTTAATTCGATGTTAATTAGTTTTGTAGGTATTTGGTCATAAAGCAAAACTAAGTACTGGATAAATAATACAAATAATAATTGGCCTGATGGTGGCGCTAGATGACAAGTCAGAAGATCATGGTGTGCTTACAATTCAGCCTGAGGGGGTCGTAAATGTGTGTACAAAATGTAATGGCTCTTTATCCAGTGGTTGTTATTATAATATTTCAGAATTTGAACTAAAATTAAACTTTTATTAAGTGTTTAAGATTGACGTCTCCAGTTGGAACCAGCTGGAGCTGAGAGCCACAGACAGCAGGGACATCAGAAAGCACTGAGAAACACATTTGTTGGTATTGGTCTTTTCATTGGATTTGGACAATAAGAGAAATGTAGAATAATGTGACAACTGTTGTATGCTGACCTGTAGTGTTCTCTGTGGGGGGGTATCCTCCAGTGTGGCCATGCTCTCCAACATATCAACCATGGACCCTTCCTCCCAGGATGGGGAGGACACCAAAGCCTCCACCCCTCTCAACCCTCTCCAGGATGAGGAATTACCTCGCTGTGAGAGCGGTCAGGCTCCATCCTGTTGGCTCCTCTTCTTTAAACCCATCCTGGTCATCAGTGTCGGAATGCTGCTGTTTGGATCAGGCACCACCCTGTCCCTGCTCTACTTTTCCCGGGTGGGCAATGTCCCCTACCTGCTGGGGCCGTTGTTCCTCTCTGTGGGTCTTATGTTCCTGGTCACCGGCCTGGTCTGGATCCCGGTGCTCAAACAGAGCCTGGAGCACAAGGCACTTACCAAGGTCCACCATGGGAAGGGGCTCCAAGTAGGTGACTGATGGGGTAGACTGGAACCACTGGGACCCAGGACCAAATGCTTTTAAACCACAAAGTAGAAGTACAGGTGTGTGACAGATGCTTTAGGACAGATTTTTTTATATAAATGAGCACATAGGTTCGTAGAAGCCAGAGCTTTTGGAGTTTAACCCAAAGGTTAAACTTTTGGGTGGATGTTTTTTATTGTTATATTATTGTTTCCTTTTATGATTATTGGTATGAATTTGGACTTACCATTTCATCCATACGTATGTATATGTGTATTCATTATTTTTATTTTTAATGTTGTTTTGTTGTGTTTATTTGACTAATCCATCTCAGGGTCACCACCAGACCCTTACAGAGCGCAACAGTGACCCCCCCCCGTTTTTTAAACAGCTCCAGTTCCAGAAGTCAATTTCCCATTCATTCCATCCACTAACATTCCAGAAAATCCTTTTATGAAGCGTGTTAAACCTGAAACCAAGCCAACCAACTTGAAATGAATCGTGACAGTAAAACATTTGATTTGGAGCAACAAAAAAAGCTTGGGAAACAGAAAAAGGAAGCATGCCATTTGTGGTCTTGATCCCTTACCAAATTTCTCCCAGACCCACAGGAGGGTGAAACAAATCTGGTTCCTCTGGCTCCTCCTTGCTCCTTTACAAGGATCCACCAAGAAGAATACAACAAATCAGAGCCAAGACAAATGATGATTGTTGAGTCTCATTTCCAGGTCATCAAATACCAGTGCTTCAGGTTGGTGGTTTGAAGTTAATTGTTTGCGGAATCTCATTCACAGGTCCTAAAGCATCAGTATTTGACCGTGTCTTTCATAGCTCTGATTGGTTATTTTTGTTCAGACCTGGTGGATTCTTGGAAATCCCATTAGGAGCACTAGGAAGAGCCAGAGGAACCTGATTTTTTCACAGATTATCTGTTTTATGTACTACTGTCAGGATAAATTGAAAGTTTTAGCAAATATGACAGCGGCAGCTTTAAAAGCTGAAAAACTGTAGGGCAGTGTTTCCCTGTGGTACAAGGCATGAACAAGGCCCTAAACTCTTCTACATCTATGTGTGTCCTGTATTTTATTTGATGAATATGTCAAATGTTGTAATTGTAATTTGTTGTGCTACCCATCTGTGTCATTGTGTCCCTGTCGCTTGTTGCTCTCTCTCTGTTATTTATTTATTTGTCATTTCTCCATAAGCCTTTCTGCTCATTGTGGCTGCTGGTGGGCCATGTAAATCCTTTAGAATAGGATTACTGAGGCAGAGAAATGCTACTGGACATATCTGTCTCTGATTGTTCTGAGATCAACATAGCCACTGATTGCTCCCAAACTCCACCCCTCCAAACACACACAAACACACATATACACTTCAGCTTTGTGCTGTGGCTCCAGGCCAAAGAGCAGCGAATTAACAGATCTGACCTAATCTGACCTGCAGCATGTCCATCTGTCTGTGTGCACCATGCAAATAACACAGGAAATATGCTGAGATAACGACTGTATTTGAGACACTGATGCAAACATGTATATGAGTCTGTAAATGTAGAGTGTGGAAATAGTAGCGATTCCAGTCCAAAGAATGAGATGAGGTGTCTATCTGTGATGTAATAAAAAAATATTTTGAGCAAAATGTAAAGCAAATCCATATTTAGTGCCATTTTAAGAATTTTAAGTATATATTGAAACTTATCAGCATAATATTGTAATCCACAAGTATTTTTGTGCAGGATATATAGTCTTTCAGAATGAGTTGACAAAATAAAGTCGAATAATATTTAAACTACTTCCTCTTTCATGTTGCCAACAGACTGTTATTAAAGCACACCAAGTATGTGCATGTGCAGCCGTTTGTATGTGCTTGTTTCCTTTGTCATTTGCAGGATAAGTGAAAGTTTATTAACTGAGTTAACCTACATTTGACATTATGAGCCTCACAAAGGTAAAAGCATGCATTAGTTGTCTCAGTGTTACAGATTTGTGGTCAGGTGAAGCTGGAGTTATATGAGACCAGGATGGTAGTCTGGAGACTCCCTCTCCCATGCAGGCACCACCTGGAGTTATGTTGGAATTGGAGTTAAGTATCTGTACAGGTTTTTTTCCTAGTGGTATGTTTCTTTCCAGTGTCAAAATAACATGTCCTTCTTTTAATTAATCCTTGTGCGTTCGCCTCATTGCAAAACCTTACAGCACGTCTTAATAATGGAAGTGAGTTAACATAACTTCACTCATTCACATGAATTAAACCCAACTCAGAAATGGACTGTTGAAGTAGTAATTTCAGTTTTAGTGAACTTAAATTTGTGCAGTATTTTAAGTATTGGTGATTTAATTCCAGTTTGTTTCATTGACTCATTTCCTTAAGTTGAGTTTATATCATTACAAAAAGCCCCACTGTACTATAATGCTTAGGATTTCTGCTTTTATTTCATGATAATATGCCCAATTTTTTATGATCCCCCGAAGGGTAAAATGTGATGTTACATAAAAAACAAGTACGCTATTGTTAACAACTTCATTACAGCAGAAACAATCACATTAGATTAGATCCACAGAGGATTTACTGGCTTCCACTTTGATAATCAATTAATTGTAAAAAACATTTGTATAAAGAAGATGCAGTTAAGTCAGTCCTCTGACACATTCTGTTAACACATTTTAAATAAGTTTGGAGAAATGCTGCATATGAGTCTATATAAGTATATGTACTAGTTTTAAGTTGAACTAACTGAATGGAATTGGTATAATTAACTTAATTTACCCAAGTTACCTTAACAATAAGTATTTGCGTTACTTCTACTTAAATCAAATATTTTTTCTTGCTTAAATTGTTTGAGTTAAAACACACAAATCGTTTAATGTAATCAGTTTCCTAAAATAGTTTGAGTTGTACTAACTTTTACAGTGTTATTTGCTGCGGTCTAACAGATCCATTGCTTAGTCCATACATTCAACGCTTTAATTAATGGCTTAATTCATACATATGAGTCTAAAGTGACATTGAAGGTAACTTTACATGTTCCCTCCACAGATAATTCAATAAGGGCAGAATACTCCCTCTGAAAAAGTTGATCCACACCCTCCATGATGCTGTTGAGGGATTTATTAAGATGTGGCAACCAGTCTTGGACTGAACTTTGTTCTACCTAACTGACAACATTGGGACTGATTAGAGCATACCCTACCAATGTAATGTCATCCTGGTGGTGTGTGTTTTTGTGTTTTAAGGTGGTTCAAAAAGAATGATGTGGTTCCTTGTCATTTGGAACTGGAAATCAAACATTTAATGAAGACAGTTGCCTTGAAACTATGAGTTTTCTCAGCTTTTTTTTTTTTTTTTTACAGTGTAATTATTACATTTTTCACTAATGATTTGGACCTCTTAACCCAAATACTAGGTAAAAATGCAGGGGCCACCTTAGGGCCCCTACCATTTCAGTAATTGCCACATGGACAACCTGGCAGGGGGGCTAGGTGGTGGGGCAGTTGCCCTTTGTCCAGTTCAGCCTTGGTTTGCATACTATGGTTATGTTATCATTATGTTATTGTTACATTAATGCACATTATTACATTCCGACTTGTAGACGAAAGAATAAGCTGGCTAACTGTGCCATAAAGGGACACATATTCTTCATCTTAACAATGACAAAACAAGCATTGCTTGACCACCACCAGGCTCTTCAATATCCTGACTCCTGAAATATGCCAGTTTCAGGGTGCGACCTACAGGGGGAGCTTGGCTCCTTATAATAAGATAGGAGCTCCCCTGAAAACATGATTTATGAAATTTTGAGGGGTCTCTAAAATACTGACTGAATATCAGCCCCCCCAAAGACATTTTAGGCTGCAACAATCCCAGAATCCCCCGGGATGTGATGCATTTTGAGATGTTTTTAGACTTTTTTTGCAATTAAATTGCAGGAGAGAGTTAAAAAATTACAACTTGTTCCACTGAGGAAGGGATCGGGAAGGGTACACTGGAGCTGGAGGGAGCGCAATGTGCTATTTTTGCTATTTGGGGATTATGCAATCATTAAACTTACTATTGATGTAGGACGATGATTTGTGTATGTGAATCACTAATTCACTTTAAAAAGGATACTGCTGTTCTTGAGGTCATATTTCTAACTCTTGCTTTGATTTTCTCAAATGAAATCCATAAAAGTATAAAGTTTACTAAATAAACGGTGAAATGAACCGAAGGGAAACAACCCAACCACACCGGCCAGGTAGCCCCTCCTCCAGCGGGCACCACGCCCCACCTCTGTGACTGCGAGGCGGGCGACCTGAGCGGGGCTGAGCGCCTCACCTGGCTCACCTTACAGCCGCTCTGAAACTCAATGCCACGGCACAAAGGCTCCGGGAAATAAGCGCTTACTGTCAGAGACCTGAGCGTCTCTTCGGAGCCACACACTGTATGTTGACATGGAACCGGTGTACCGGGGTCTGGGCCGCTGTGTGTGCTGTTTCTGGCTCGCAGTAGCCTTTGACATTGTGGGACTGCTGGTGCTCCTCATCGGGGTGTTTGTGAACGTGTTCTTCTACGACCTGCTCATCTACGCGGGCGCCATCGTCATCTTCCTCAGCCTCATCTGGTGGGTGTTCTGGTACTCCGGGAACATCGAGGTGCCCCCGGCGGAGCTGGAGGATGATGTCGGGTTACTGAAGAAGGGCAAGGGCGGTTTGAGCGGCATCGGCGGGGCGGTGAGGCGCCTCTCCAGCCGCGTGTCCAGCGGAATCAGGAGCTCGTTGCGTAGGAACGGAGGACCGTCCGGTGCCAGCGCGGGTCGCGGGCGCAGGTCACAGGCCGGTGGGCCGCCGGTGGCCCCGCGGGCGGAGCAGGTGGTCGTTGCCATGGCAACGATAGCTCCGCAGGAGGATACCCCGCACACTGCTGTGTCCTCAGTGGCGGGCTGTGACGTCGAGATGCCGCACACAACAACAGAGACTTCACCTACGTAGTGTGGGCCCACAGGTGAGGCCTCATCACAGAACACTGACCTTATCTCTCCTATCAAATAAAACATTTATTATTGTGGAAAGAATTAGCATTTCTAGACACATTAAACATTTCTAAATTCAATTTCACATGTAACAATACATTTTTATAAAAAAAAATAGGGCCCATCCCCCAATGTAACCCCCAAAAAACAACCACAACAAAAAAGAAGGAAAATTTCAGTTTTTCTATGTTTCGTTTTTACATTTTTAAAAACATCTGTGCAATGACATTTTCTGTAGGCTATATCTTATGTCCCTCAGATCTAATGCCTGATTCAAAGGCTTCTTCTGTCTGCCAGGAATACAATTCTAATGCTAGTGAAACAATACAAAACCCTAAAAACTGTCAAATGTTGAGATAAAAAAACGTTAAAAAATGAGAAGCAGGCTTTAGAACATGTGTGTATTTGTAGAAATGAAAACCCTCCTCGGGTCATTAAAACCCAGAAATACTACAAGTTTAACGGGGTTAAAGTTTATCTTGATATTTCTACACAAAACACAATATCATAGGAATAAAGCCAAAATTATTATTGTTGTTTTCGCTGTTTTGTAGGAAAGTGAATATCCAAACATCAGCAAAGTTTGATTGACTGGTTATGGCAGGGGTTCCCAAACGTTTTCATGTCAAGGGCCCCCACAATAGATGCACATTAGATCACGGACGCCCAGTTTCAGAAGATTTTGTCTGAGTAATCTTCTTTTTTTTAATCAAGATTATAAAGTCTTCATAGTCAATCAAACTAAACTATTAATTACAATCAATAAAAACAGCTATTCCCTTGATCCAACTTCCAAAAAAATTGATACAAGTAAAAATAAAAGTTCTTATGTGTGTCCATGAGGGCGTGCTTTAAAACAAGTAGCTTTATTTCCTTCCAGCTTGATGTCATTTAAATGCGGAACTGAAAGGATTATCTGTGGCTAAGGCAGTAAAAATTCTTATCACTGGATGAATGATTAACTGCAGTTCACGGCTCAGTAAAAGACAAGCCCTCAGCTTAAACAATAGCAGGCTTACCTGAAACTTCCCTTCTCATCCTCACATTAATACACACATCTCTGATAAAACACAGAGAGAAGACTTTGTGAAATCCAAATAATGATCTTTAATAATGTTTCATCTATTTTCTACCCCACAGACCTCAGATCAGATCAGAGCCAGCCACAGTGTCTTCACTTGACCCCATTCGATGCTCAGCTTTTCTACTGTTTGTATGTTTAATGAGAAATGATTAATACTTGATGATGATATCTGGATGGAGTGTTAGCAGTTGCCTTTATTAAATGTGTTGTTCTAATGTATATTTTCCTAATAAATGTTTTAATCAGTATCACAGCATGGATTCAGTCAATTCATAATGATGCCCAATCTCACAGGAAATCCATAGCTTTTTACAGTATATGATCATCTTCATTTCCTGCATCTTTTTGACCCTTATTGTAGGAGTAATCTTCATCATTTGAACTCAACTATTTTTTTTTTACATTAAAGGCACACTATGCAAGATTTTTACCTTAATATAACAGCTTCGAAGTCATTTCGATGGTAAACGAACTCGTAGTATAGCGAATCATCCCGATAGCAAAGCTGGGGAGGGACGCCGCTGGCAGAACCAGCAATGCAAGTCAACTAATTTACTATGTCTCGCTAGCTAGAATAGAGGAGCTGTTAGCAGACTACCAAACACTCGTCTCCCTTACGTGTTTTTGCGTCGTTATATTGGCTAACTTGCCACACAAGCGAGTTTGCCAGCTGAACTCAGGTGTTGTGAGGTGTATTTATCACGTAGTCTTTTGTCCGGTTGCGATTTCGTATGGATTGTGAACTGTGCTTATGCAAACTTTAGCTGGCTAACAGTGAACTCTCAACTGTACCTTTACTTGAAATTGGGATTTTTAAGAGTCAATTACATCTTACCGAGTTACGGAACCCAGGAATTCATACCTAGTTTTGAGTGCAGAGACGCAGAGCTGTATATAGAGAGGGCTCTTGTGAGTGGTATTTACGACAGTTAACGTTAAATACAAGTACTCCGCAGCGACTCTAGGGGTAGCTGTTTGACAAAACTGGAAAACTGCATAGTATGCCTTTAAATAAAAAAAAACATCAGCCTATAACCAAAATAACCCAGCCCAGACTTAACCAAGATGTTCTAACCTAAGTCAAACTCCTAAAATCTGAACTAGAACCAGTTTTTGACAGTGGTATTTTTTTATGGTAGCAGTAATTAGTCGTACTGTACCAAAAATAAGGGTTACATTTTCATTGATTTGGCCTTTTTCACAGCAGCCATTTAGACACGAAACAGGGTAAACGCAGGTGTGACCACTAATTATGGTTCTGTTCCATTTAGTGTAGCAGAGCCTTTCCAGTGAGCCAACATTCATGAACCTTATTTAGTATTGGTAACATCTGTGTTTACCCTACTATTCTGACTATTTCATGTCAAAATGGCTGCTGCGAAAAAGGTCTATTCTGGGTTTCGGTAGACATTTAGAAACATTAATTTCTCTGAGGGACTTTAAAATTGTAGTAATATTTTAGATATGTTTAATAATATGTTTTAATGAATTAATTGTTTATGAATGTAATGACTTCTTTGTGTAACTGAATTGTCTTTTTATGGTGTTGTATACTCATTTTCTTCTCATGTCTTTCTTGTAAAAGAGTTCTTGATCTCAATGAGAATTCCTAATTTTATTTTTTTGTTTAAAAAAATAGCTCAATTAACAATGCATCATAGATAGATAGATAGATAGACTTTATTAATACCCGAAGGGAAATTGGGTTGTCATAGCAGCCAGGTACATTTAAATACTATAAAATGCAACAATAGAATAAAATACTTAGATAGAAAAGATAAAAAAGATAAATAGGTAGGTAAGGTGCAAAGAAGTTGTAGTTGCAAGATGGTGGTAATAGTACTGATGATATGATGGTAGTGTTATTGTTAATAACAGTATAAAATAATAATATGAATAAGATAATAATATATATATATATATATATATAATATGTACATATATATGAGATATTATATGATATACGGCATATGTATAATAGATACTTTACAAGAAAGATATATATGCGATAAATAATATATATTGTAATATAATAATAATAATAATATATTGTATAAATATGATATATAATATCAACATGGTTTATATTAACACATATCACATATGATATGAAGTATATGTTCCACAGGTAGATTTAGTCCAGTTCTGTAATTGTGGATCTGACGGAGGCAGATATACAGTCTTATTGCAGTGGGGAGGAACGATTTTCTATATCGTTCCTCAGAGCAGCGGGGATGAATGAGTCTGTTGCTGAAGCTGCTCTTTAGCTTGTCCAGTGTTGTGTGGAGGGGGTGGGAGGGATTGTCCATAATTGCCAGCAGTTTTGCCAGCATCCTCTCCTCCACCACCTCCTCCAGGGTGACAAGCTTAGAGCCAACAACAGACTCGGCCTTCTTAATGAGTTTGTTCAGTCTGTTGGCGTCCTTTGCCTTGATGCCCGCACCCTAGGACACCGCAGCAAAGAAGATGGTGCTCGCCACAACAGACTGATAAAAAACATAAAAAGATCATATCTTACTATTGTGTTTTTTAAGTATCCAGAATATCTTACATCAGTGAGGTCTCATTCTGCAGGTTTAATATCTGTATATAGAAAAGAAAGATTATATTTATTTTAATTAATTTTCACAATACACACATGGTTTGTCTTGTGTCTCTCTAATGGGAAGATTTCTGTCATAATTGTTGACCATTTGTCCTCTGTCCATTGTCTTATTCTTCAACAGGCAGCCTGGTTACTTAAAACATCCACTGTGACCGCACCCACCTGTCAATCAAATTCATTAATTATGCATAACTTTAAGCCTTAATATGGTTTTAAATGGGTGAAATGTATAAAAATGCACCCCCGTACAGCTGTCATGAACAGGAAATTAGCTATAGATACTAAAAGTGTTTTTTGTACCAGGCTGTAAGCATGTTTATTTCTGCTGTAAAGTTGGATATTTTAATATGGGGCCCTGTAGAGACTGACTTACTGCTGGAGCCAGCCTCTAGTGGCCATTAGAGGAACTGCAGTTTTTTGGTTGCCTGTTGGTTTTGGTTCACTCGCTCTCGTAGCATAATTTTTGGTTACAGCTAGCAGTGGCATCTAGCTGTATAGTTGCAGATTACAATGCCCTCACCTCAACCTCCTGTTCCAAGCGTGTAGGAGAAACTACGGTGGCTGTGAAACCTGTGAAAAAGTCCTATTTAGAGTTAATTTTTGGTTTCCCACTGGACGTTAATGGACGTTCAAGTGACTCCAGCTTTTTGTTACTGCACACCCACCTGATGCCATTTTTAATTTATAATATGTTCAACATTCTTCCATTACAAATTCATGAGCTGCTGGATCCATTCATTTAAACCTTTGCCATTTTTATTTGACTGTAGCAAAAGTAAAAACAACAGGAAACAAGCAGACACACCCTTCAGGTAGTTCATAAAGCGGGAGCAACTTCTGCTGTGATAACAGCAGTTTGGATCAGGCTGCCAGCTCATGTGGATTCAGGTTTATAGTGTGACCCTTACCTTACTAAAGATTAGGACGTCTGTTAAGATATTATCTTACAGTTTAGTTGGGACTTACTGATCCCTCTGGGCACTTAAACGTGTTGCAGCAACCAACATGTTACAGCAGGGGAAACAATTGTAAAGGTGTAACATAATCAATAAATGTGACCTGGAGACTAAATGAGAATACTGCTGTGGAAAAAGAGGTGTAGCTGGCTGCAGGATTCCTTGTTCCCACCCATGTTGATAACAAGCCTCAGTGTTTGACCTTTGGAACCAGTTGACTTTATTATAGCCTACTGTTATTTCCTCTGACTGTGACTTCAATATTGTCTGCAATGTCGAATGGTGGAAAACACATTTACTGTGAGAACTTATATCATGAAAAAGAAAAAGAAAAAAAGTCTTGCATCAAAGAATTGAGCATTCAATGTAATTAAAGGTATTTACTTAGGTGGCATCATCATACTACATCACATTCAAAATAACAACAAGAATTGTTAGAATTGTGTGCATGTTAAATGAATATATTGTGTTTATGTCAATTTAATGATTGGATCATGTTTGTTGGACACGATTCAAAGAAAATTCAGATGAATGAAATCAACACATGTTGGTCCAACAGGAACAAATCCTTTCGAACTGCGTTATTCTGATTTATGTTCTACCTCACTGTTGTTTGTTGTACTTTTTTATGTAGTTACAATCAAAAGTTTTTCTTTGAATTTACTTAATTAAATCATGGAAGGTATTTCTATGCAATTAAAGGGCTTTCTTTCGGTATGAAGCAATTCTGTTGGGCCAATGTAATTTACTTAGGTTGGATCAACTTCACTTAAAATTAGACTAGTAATTTTACAACTGAAAAATGTGTTAAATCAACCCTATTCAATTGAGTTGACTCAACCCAAGTAATTTAACTTGGACCAACAGGATTGCTTAATTCTTAAAGAAAGCATTTTGATCCTGTTTCCTAGATTGCCAGTATTTTGGAAAAACTGAGGTCATGATATGGGATAAAACCTAAACCTAAACTCTTTAGCTTGTAATGACCATATCCAGAGGTGACTCAGGTTTGAATCATAAATTAGATGACTTCAGACTCAACTTGACAAAATCTAAATACTTTGATACCTTCCCCTAAGCCCCAAGATTAAACAGTATGTTGTGTGCCACAAATCAAATCATTTCCCTTCATCTCCTGAGTCTAAAGTTAACACTGTTCATTCTCTAGATCCACTTAGTTTGAACCAATTTGATAGCGTACAATCAGGTTGAAGGAGAGAACCATGCGATAACTAACATTACGTTACTGAGCACCAGTTGGAAAAAATTATACCAAAGATCATTTAGTTTGCATGCACTGCAATGTCTGTTTCAGCCATTGTACACTAATGATCATTACAGATTCCAGATAAACAGTACACTTAAATTTGTAAAACTTTTTAGGTGAGAAATAGTCAACACAGTAACAGAATCTTGATTCTGAAATGTATTACTGGATTTACTTTAAGCCACATATTATGGATATAACGATACACTCAAACCACCAAAATGAGATTGAAGACAAATTATGACTGAAAAAGAATATATATATATATATATATATATATATATATATTTTTTTTTTTCTTTGTCAAATTATATAATTTATTTTTTATTTCTGAGGTAGATTATAAACTGTTCAAAACAATACATATTTCCCTATGAAGGTTAAACTGATGTGTTTGGGCCTTGATACCACAATTTGAAACTTACATTCCTACCAATTCAATTCAATTCCATTCAATTTTATTTGTAGAGTGCCAATTCATAACAAAAGTTACACTTTTCAAATAGAGCAGGACAGAGACAGAAGAAGGTGCACAACAACTATACTAATAGAAATGACTGATGATGATGATGACGATGATGACGACAACAGCCACAACGATGGGGGATGATGGACAATAATAATAGTAATAATAATAATAATAATGTCATTGATACTACACATCGATCATATGATAAAGGCTGTTAACTTTGGTGTTTTGTGTCACTGCAGACAATTTCATATTACAGCTTACATTAAATGCTCAAAATCAGTCTTCTTCCTCCAAATGTCATCTACAATAGTCTCTTTAGATTTGTATGAGGGTGTTTTTTTTTTTACTTGTTAGGCTAAAGATTATATTTAGTCTAAAAATCATCAGGATCATTCTTAAATACCAAACATGTGTAATAAGTCCTGTATATAATCATAGGATGTAAATTCACCCGGTGTCAATAAACCCTTACCGAATGCATCCATATTATCAGTACGGCTGTTGTGTGGTTGTTGATCAGATTTCAAACAGGGCTGCCCTCCTTGGCTAGATAACAGATTTATAAATCCACTTTGACCACACAACTTGTCTTCAGAGAACCTCCGACCCATCACGACCCACACCAGTGTTCACCTTTGTGTCAGCTGAGGTGCAGCACCAGCCTCTTAAAAGCAGACGTAGACAAAAAAATCTTGCTGTAAGAAAGCATCATGTTTTAATTTAACCATCTTACTGTTGTGCAACACTGGTATAGAATATCTTTCAGACATCCCATGTATTGTATGCATGGTTGAGCATAGAGTCTCACAATGTTTCCTCCAACTGCTTCTTTAGTAGAGTTTCAGAATGTCTCTTTGGTGACTCCTAGTGATAAAAAGTCAACAATGCATGGTGCTATATTTTATGTAGCTTTTTTATCTGGTCAATCAACCTGGAACAGAAAAGCAAGCGCTTTCATTCAGAAAATGTCACCACTCTAATATGCAATCTATTGTTTGTTTTTACAGCCAGTGTTAATATGTTTGGATCTTGTAACTATGGAAGGACATTGCATTTTTCTCGTAATTACGAGATCAGCTCATATTGTAGCTTCCGCCAGGACGTGTTGAAAAGATGACGAAGTGTTATTCAGCAACCCGACATTTATCGCTGGAACAGTTCAGATTACTGTCGGCCGTAACCACACCATAAACAACCAGAGCATAAAGTTAGGTAACTCTCTAACTGTGTCCTTCGCGCTCACCTCAGGCTCGCTCACACACACACACACACACACACACACACACACACACGCACACGCACTCGCCCCCCGCCCCCCACCTACTCATTTAATCCCAAACATGTCATTGACTCACAGAACATTTAACATTGTAACAGAACATTACTGCAGGGTCGCTACAATATATATGTCTGTGAGTCAATTCAAAACTTTTTTTTATTTACGATTGTGGCTTTGTTACGTTTTGCCATGTGACGTCGTTACCGTGGCAACAGAAAAGCTGACATGGCTGACATGCAATGCGCTTCCGTAACTGAGAGAGGATTTACAGACGTTTCCTTTTCTTTTATCTTATCTTAGTATCACTTAGACTTATTGTCTTTTTGCTCCAGGGTCAGGAGTGACAGGAACCATTTTGTTTTGGGCCTTGAATTGTGAAGACTCATCCTCCATCCTCTTCCTGCCTCTTATCCAGAACTGAACTCATAAGCACAAAGTATCTAACGTTAACTTCTTTTTTATTTCCTCTGTGCTCCTTTGTTCTTTGGCCTTATCATTTTATCTGCCTTCTTAAAAAAAGGGACTTAAGAAAAGTGCTATATTATTATTATTATTATTATTATTATTATTATTATTATTATTATTATTATTATTATTATTATCGTGTTCCCTGAACATACTTATAACTGAAGTAAGAAAGATAACGTCCCGCATTGCTTGGCTGTTGCTGGCAAACATGGCCAACCGGAACCCATCACCCTGTAAGCCAGGCGTTTATGGGAAGACTTTGAGTGCGGCACTGCTGTTCTGTATTCACTTCCGTAAACACGCGGTTCACTTCCTCTTCTGAAAATGGGGCTCACACACGCGCGTGCTCATTTACGGCGCAGTCGGGCATTTCTTTTCAAAACAGTGACAACGTTACAGAAACAGTGACAACGTTACAGAAACAGTGACAACGTTACAGAAACAGTGACAACGTTACAGAAACAGTGAACACTATCCTCCAACCTTCCACTGTCACTGGCCCCGCAAAGAAAAATGAGAGCGTTGTGACTTATCCTCTTCAGTCGGAGCTGTTAGCGTGAAGGAAGCTAACGTTAGCATTCCAAAAACAGGGACTTTTCCAGAGAAGTATGGAAGTGGACGGTCGGGACTTTTTCAGCTCTCCTCCCGTGAAGACCGTCAGGTTTGGAGGCAGCGTCGTGGAAACGTTAGCTAAACATAAACAGGTGCGTGCTAACGTTGTGCCAGTCTATTGTTGACCTGTTAGCAGTTCAATGATGAGACTTTTTAAATGCTGCTCGCTATCATTGAGCCCTGAAGGAGAGACACTACAGGTGAACATTTAGAACAAATAGACCTATATAGCACCATGAAACTTCCACAGTTGATTACTTCCATTACTTTTTGTAGTTTTTCTGAAATTCTATGCTCACATATGCAACTGATCCATTATCTAATTAAAAGTGCATTAATTAGCATACATTTCCAAAACAGAAGAATGAACATTGCATAACGCCAGGTTCCAAATTGTCGTTTCATTTTGTTGACATATTAGTGACAGAGAGAATTTAGGAAATCTCTTTTTATCACTCAGTAAAAGAGAAGATACTGTCAGCAACAGCCACTTGAAAGCAAATAAATAAAATGGGCTATAAATGCTATATACAACAAACTCCTCTGTAATAACCTTCAGAACATAGATAGGAATTGAACTGGAAGGTTGGGTGTATGGAAGTGTTTGGTGCATTTAAATATGTGGATGAGCTTTTGGTGAAATCTACAGACAAATGGACAGAATGCAGTAAAATCAACACTTAAACATGTATTTTGTGTGTTTTCTTTACACTAACCTGAAAGAAGGCATGTTATGGAAGCAAAAGGACCCAAAACCTCAAGATTGACCAGTGCATGCAAACAACATACCTTTCCTGTTGTCCTGTAGTTCCTGTGTTTCATAAAGGTGAACTCGTTGTCAGCTTATTCCATGTATGATTTGCTGTTTCTCTTCTGGTTTGAAGGGAGACTCGGGTGACTATGAATTGCTGAAACATCAACTGGCTGACCCTGACATAAAGGTACAGTAAAGCATCAGTGTGTTTGAGGTGACCTGAGATTCTGCGTAATAATATCTGCAAGCTTTGTCACATGGTGCTGTTCCTCAGTGAGCTCTCTCCTCTGACAGGATGCTCAGATCATCAACTGGCTACAAGAGTTTCGGAGCTGTGTGACCCAGCTAACAAAGGACCATGAACAGCTCATCTATACGGTCCTGGTGAGTGCGGAAAGTGTAGGGCTTTCCGTCATCAGTTAATACGTCGATCATTTTCTTGATTAATTGATTAGTTGTTTGGTCCATGAAGTCAGAAAATGGTGAAACCTGTTGATCAGTGTTTCCCAGAGCCCAATTTGAGGACAATATTCATATCTTTTTTATAAATTATTATTATTGATTATTGTATTCTAGCCCCTCACTCACCTGCATAAACCTGGGTGCATATTTTATTAGAAACCCGACTGCTGGTAGGAGCTGTGTGAAAACTGGAGATTAATATGTCAATTCTAGGCCCACTGATAAATGATGTGACTGTTTGTTGGCAAGTGCTGCCATGTATTGTCAAGAAAAACTACTGTAAAGTAATATTCAACTGCGTGGGTGGACAAACCGTTTTTCAAGAGAAATTGACAAAGCTTTTCTTGGTCCAGCTTTGTAAGTGAGAGAATCTGCTGCTTCTTTTTGTTGAACATGATAGTAAATTGAACATATGGATATGATTTATCTTGTTTTATTTATCTTCAGTTAAACATATCTAAACTAAAGACATGATAATTAAACATGCACACACACAGAGTCACATCCATCAAGAGACAGTGGTCTAGTAGGCTGATGGGTGATTCACAGCTTAACCCAGAATCCCTGCAGACAGGTACAGTGATTCACCAGCTCCATTTTAAATGATGACTCCCACACTTTCAATTAAATTCTATTCAGTTTTCTTTATATAGTGCCAATTCTTAACAAAAGTTATCTCAGATTTTGTCAAAATAACAAGCTGAAGGAACTTTTTATTTCTCTTACAGGGTTTTCTTTTGGGTTTTCAACTGTGTTTCAGTGATGTGAACACAACTAAATGAAGCCAAACTGCTGCAGATATTCTTATTTATTTATTTAATGTATTACATTTTTGCTCTTATACCCCTCTGGATGTAAAAAGTTAAGTAAATTAGGTGTTTTTTCGTATATTGTTTAAATGAAAAGAAATGGACAATGGATCAGCCATAAAGCTGAAATCTTTTGGAACAAGAAATTCTATTGCAGACACAAAACTCTTGGCTCTGTATAATTTTGCTGTTAATTATTGTAAATCTATTTGTACTTGTCAATGGATGTGAAATAACATGGATTTCATACTAAAAAGATAATGAAAGAAATACAAATAAAAAAGTGTCTCAGGAGGATTAGACCGTACTCCTTATAGCATTATTTACAGAGACCCAACAGTTCCCTTGAACCTTGATTTGAAGATGTAATCTTGGGCTCAGGGAAAATTGTTAACGTTGTCTGACATTTTATAGACTAAACACTAAGTCGATTCATTAAAAAAAAATATTGGCAGATTAATCAATTTGGAAATAATCTGTAGTGTTTGTATAGCTACTTGGCTTGAGTGCTTGGCTGACTCTGGTTTGGAAATACAGTGCATGGCATAGGACCCCCTGATTGTGTCATATGTTGTATTATGTGGAGCTAGAACAGTGACATTACATTTTGGCATTGAAAACAATACCTGAATTGAAAAGGTAAACACTGGCATTGAGGCACAGTTAAAAATGTGTACTGGCATTCAAAGAAGGTCCACTGAACAATGAAACACAAGACATTTTATGACAACCGTCTGAAATACCATATAGTGTCCACACCTGTGTGTAGGTAAATCACTAACATTATTCATCATTAGACAAACCGCAAGCTGAAATTCTCCTCTGGTTGTGTGTTTCTAGAGGCTTCCGTGGGTGGGCCGGAGCCAGGCCGTGGTGGAGGAGTACATGGCCTTTCTCGGCAACCTGGTCTCGGCACAGACCGTGTACCTGTGTGCCTGCCTCAAGATGGTGGTCTCCCACTTCACTCCCAGTAGGTTCCCTCCACTTGTGGTGAAATAATCCAAAATTTATCAAATAAAATCCAGAATTCAAGTTACAGTAGTACTGTTGGTAATCTGTCGGCTGACTGCCATCATGTGTTTCAGTTTAGATGAACATTGACCATATAATGTGACTGATGGAAAATGATTGTGTGTGTTTCCAGAGAGAGTGACCATCTGTGAAGGAGGAGTCGATATCTCAGATTCAGAGGATGAAGATGAGGGTAGGTGTCATCTGTCTTACTTCTAGGGCTGTAACGGACCTAGTTACTTCCAATTAAATATGCATATAGTTCTATTCAGACATCAGAAAGTGTGTTTTGTATGTGAAGGTGTGTAATTGGTGTTCTTGCTGATGTTTGGGCCTGTGGAGAGAGAGGAGCAGAGATAATGTGAAGCTGACTGGTGTTAGAGAATAGCTTACATCCTCATCCTCAAATTCTCTGGTTAAATATGAATGAATGAATGCTCAACTAGCGCTTTGGTTTGTTAAGATCTTCCTAGAAGCTTCAATCAGTGTCACCAAGCGTTGCAGCTCATCACCAGATACGTTCCATCGTAAGTCACTTTTTTTTCTTACAGTTCTTCATCTTCTTGTCTTGGTTTTAGTGTTTTTACAGCAAAACTAAAGATTTGGCTGTATACTGCAGAAGCTGAAATGAACCAGTGCTGAATCTCCAATAACAAATGTTTTTCTTAAACAAACCAGATGATTGATCACTGCATCTATTTCCACATATTTGTTTTGTCAAATATACTACATAATTCTTTAAGTCAATGCCTGCTGTATGCATGCAGGCATTTAAAGGTCCAGTGTGTAGGATGTAGTGGCATCTAGCGGTGTAGTTGTAGATTGCAACTCCCTCGCTTCATCCTCCCTTTCCAAGTGCAAAGGAGAAACTATGGTGGCTGTGAAAAATGGGAATGCCCCTATCTAGAGCCAGTGTTTGGATTGTCCATTCTGGGCTACTGTAGTAACATTGTAGTTCAAAATGGTGGAAAACATACCTATGAATATTATATTCCATTTCTGACAATAGATCCTCCTAAATGTAATGTCCCTTTAAAGGGACAGTTCACCCCAAAATCAAAAGTACATATTTTACTCTTGCTAATTTGTGACAGGCTTAGTAAATATCCCCCCATTTGTTCACCTTTACTAAGTATAAGCTCTTTCACAAAACTAGACAGGAGACAAGGAAGAGAATCACTCAGAACTGGGAGCAAATCAGAAAATCCCATAAATACATAGATATGTACATATGTGTTTACTATTATTATTATTATTATTATTATTATTATATATTTCACTCTTGACTGATTTATTTATTTGCTTAAAGCTGCTGTTGTTAATGGAAGAGTAGCTGGTGACAGCTTACAAGGATCTAAATAGATTCATACAGTCATTTCACTGATATCCAAAAAATAAAGTGCAGCTCTGATATCAGTAAATGTATATACAGTACATGAGAGAGGTGCATATAAACGTAACCAAATATGTATTTTTGGTTGTATTGTATGGGTCATTCTGCAAACAGTGTAACTGTGCACATTTAAAGGGGCGGCAGTAGCTCAGTGTGTAGGGACTTGGCTTGGGAACCGGAGGGTCCCATAGACCACAATATGGAGTGTGGACTGGTAGCTGGAGAGGTACCTGTTTATCCTCCTGTGCACTGCCGAGGTGCCCTTGAGGAAGAGAAACTGCTCATGGGCGAGCCCATCACTCCACCATCTCTCTCCCTGATGCATGTCCACAAGTGCATGGAGTGTGTGAATAAAAGAAAATCCCTACGGGATTAATAAAGTATATCTTTTCTTCTTCTTCTTCTTCTTCTTCTTCTTCTTCTTCTAAAAATACAGTACAAGCATTTCTTACTGTACTCTAAAGTTTGTTTCTTCATTCAGCACAAGTCGCTTTCTGGTGCCCATTCTGCAAGAGAACTTCCCCTTCGTGCAGAAATCCTCCAGAACGCTGGTAAGAGACAACAATGCTTATATCATACAGGACAGCCAAACTCCACATAGGACAGTTGTGATTGTTGAACCACGTCACACTTGAAGGTGACCTGGGACTATATGGGCCCTTAAACAGCAGCAAGGGGTGAATGAATGCATATTGGTGACCTCCCAGAAAGTGTGGTCATTTCAGGGATATCTGATCAGAAATCAGTGTAACGCTCATCAGAACACTCAAACAAGCTGCGGAAGAGTGGAGAAATTTGAAAAACAGCTTATCAAATATGATTACACTTACATGTACTGTAATCGTGTATATATACACCTATATACGTTGTCTGGTACACCTAGGCTTCTATCTGAACACAGATCAGGTGTAGATGGGGTGTAGAAAAAGTACTGATGAATAAATTGTGATGTGATCCATTAACGGTTGTTGATCGGTTTCTCTCTCCAGGAGTGTTACGTCCACAACCTCCTCAGAGTGACCACGTACATACCATCAATTCGACGAGATGTACTGGAGGTGATCATCGGAATGATGCTCAAACTGGATGTAAGTGGTCAAACAAACAATTCCAATTCCAGGTTGGTATGGTCTCTTTTGAGACACCAAAATATAGAGATAAAAGAGGTATTTTCAGGACTAAAAATGTCTTATTTTACCATTTCAGTAGCCACATTTATTTTGTATGTACAGTTGTGCTCATAAATTTACATACCCCTATTAGAATTTGTAAAATGTGTACCATTCTATAAAGAAAACATGAGTGAGCAAGCCGAAACATTTATTTTTATTTTTGGTGGGCTTCAAATTAAACTAAAAGGTATCACAGAATAGCACAATCATTAAAGGGGAACTTGGCAACTCGAGCCATTTCTTCGCTGGTTTTCACTTTTGTCCTGTCATGTTTTCTCAACGAGCTCCCCCTACAGCTCTGGGACGTATATTTCACAAAACTGTCGTAAAAAAAACTCACTTACGGCACCCTCCTCCCCCTTTCTACCGCTGCTGATGTGCATTTGTTGCCGGGCAACTTTGAGTTTATGTGGAATTGCCGTAAAGCAGTTTGTGTTTCTCGCTCATTCTCGCTTCTCACGATACTTCCTATTTCCAACTTAACGGGACGGTAGTCCCAAAGTTGCAAGGTTGGGGAGCGGGGAAAGTCACCATTAACACCGGAACAGGCCATTTAACAGAAATGTATTTTCTGATAACATGCTGCATTCATCTTTTCATCAATTTGAACTAAATGTCCTGTGCCACTGTAGCTTACACACCCCCAAAACGTCAGCGATCCACCTCCACTCTCACAGTAAGGATGGTGTACTTTTCATCATAGGCCTTGTTGACTCCTCTCCAAACATAGCGTTTGTGGTTGTGACCATAAAGTTTAATTTTGGTCTCATCCCTCCAAATGACCTTCTTCCAGAGGTTTTGAGGCTTGGCATATTGCCAGCGAGCTGTTTTGTGGCGTTGGTGCAGTAAAGGCTTTTTTCTAGCGACTCTACCACGCAGCCCATTTTTGTTTAAGTGCCTCCTTATTGTGCATCTTGAAACAGACATTCTATTTTTTTTCCAGAGAAGCCTGTATTTCAGCAGAAGTTGCTTGTGGGATTTTCTTTGCATCCCTACAAATCTTTCTTGCAGTTGTGGCTGAAAAGTCTCTAATGTCTCCTGGTTACATTGGTACATATACACTCGAAAACACAGCTGTGTGTGTGTGTGTGTGTGTGTGTGTGTGTGTGTGGGTGTGTGGGTGTGTGTGTGTGTGTGTGTGTGGGTGGGTGGTGGGTGGGTGGGTGTGGGGTGTGGGTGGTGAGAGAGAGAGAGAGAGAGAGAGAGAGAGAGAGAGATCTGTAATAATGTGTGTGGGATATTTCAGGTGAGTGCATCCCGGGCAGACATTGAGGAGGCAGAAGAGAACACAGTGCAGAACCAGGATCCGACTGAGGAGGGACTCTTCGACATGGTAACACCCAGCACTGAATGTTAGGGGTAGGGTCTTTTAACAGAAGCAGATGCCAGTGTAGGCACCTCTTGACCCATTCAGGTGATTTTAGTAAATTGAGAAGATGTAAACAGCCTTTCCAAGCTATGGGACATACAATATAATATTTTCAACAAACATTAATGCATAGTATGTTTTATTTCATAAATTGAGCAAACATAAAAACATCATTGTGTCATGGGATAGAGATGACACAGCTTGCAAACACTTTTTTATGCCAGCTATAAGGTTTTGTTCTTCTATTTGGGATTTTTCCCATTCTTCCTTGTAAAACGCTTCTAGTTGTGCAATATTCCTGGTGGGACTGTGAGGGCCATTCCAAAACCTTCAGCTTGCATCTTTTGAGTAAGACCATGGGGGATTTGGAGGCACATTTAGGATCAGGATTCTGTTGTAGAACCCATACTCTTTTCAACTTCAGCTTTTTTACACATTGTGAGATTTTCAATTCAATTCAATTCAATTTTATTTGTATAGCGCCAATTCATAACAGAAGTTATCTCAGGACACTTTTCAAATAGAGCAGGTCTAGAACGAACTCTTTATAACATTATTTACAGATGTTTGCTTCCAGAATTTGCTGGTATTTAGTGGAATCCATTCTTCCCTCCACCTGTGCAGTGTTTCCTGTGCCACTGGCATGATAGATCCACCCCCAAGCTTAACAGTTGCTACAGTTTGATGTTATTTGTCATTTGCCCAAATGCTTGCATACAGCTGTATATTATATCAACATGCCACAGATTACAAATCTGAGAATGCGAAGAAAGGTGACATGACAGTGCACACACACAGTGTAGAGTGTGCTGTATTTGTATTACAGTTTGTGGTAGAATGAACCCAGATTTTTCAAACATGGTCTGTCCTTTCCTTGCCTTGTGTGTGTGTGTGTGTGTGTGTGTGTGTGTGTGTGTGTGTGTGTGTGTGTGTGTGTGTGTGTGTGTGTGTGTGTGTGTGTGTGTGTGTGTGTGTGTGTGTGTGTTCTGTGTCTTGTGTGTGTGTGTGTCCTGTGTTGTGTGTGTCTGTGTCTCTGTGTCTGTGTGTGTGTGTGTGTGTGTGTGTGTGTGTCTCTGTGTGTCTCTGTGTCTGTGTCTGTGTGTGTCTGTGTCTGTGTCTGTGTCTGTGCGTGTCTGTGTCTGTCTGTCTGTCTGTCTGTCTGTCTGTCTGTCTGTCTGTCTGTCTGTGTCTGTGTGTCAGGATGAGGATATGTCAGCAGATCACCCCTCCACGACGGCTGTGATGGCCCACCCGGTGGCTGAGAGGCTGGACACCCTCATGGCTGTTCTGATGGCATATGTGAAGGACGTCTGTCATGTAAATGGTAGCTGAATAACAGCTTTTACACTGTGCACCAGAGTTGTGTAATAATGATAATTATAATATTATTACATGTTTTTCTCTCTCTCAGGCTCTCTCCACGTGGAAAGGACTAAGGATCTGTACAAAGATTTGTTGAGTGTGTTTGACAAGCTCATTCTGCCAACACATGCGTCCTGCCATGTCCAGTACACGCTCTTTTACCTCTGCAGCTTCAGACTGGTCAGTTCTTCTCACGCTGCAGCAGTGCATGTGTAAAGATAGGAATGTTTTTTTTGTGAGTTTAAAGACCAAAACACACCAGCGTGCAGTGCATCCTATGAAACGCTAATAGGAAGTGTTGGGCTGCAGTGCTGGACACTGACTTTTCAATTCAAATAGTTCTAAATCCATACAACACCAAATGTGTCACAGTCCAAATACTCCCAGACAGTATGTTACATTTACACACAGTCAAGTTTAACTGCCTCATTCCTAAACCAACATCTCCTGCTTCTCCTGTACTCCTTTCTTGAAGATAAGGTTGTGTTAATTGAGGTATTTCTACTTTAATGAATATACTCCTCGTTAGATGAGGCCTTTCTGGACTCCTGTATGTATTGTATTTTCTGTGTCCCAGGCCTTGGCTGAGGCCTTCCTGGATCACCTGTGGAAGATCCTGCAGAGCCCCTCTCAGCCTGCTGTCCTCCGGCAGGCTGCTGCCGGATACCTGGGGAGCTTCCTGGCACGGGCCAAGTTCATCCCCGTCCTGTGAGTTCCTTCTGCTGAAGAAAACCCAAAGGCCGCTTAAAGCTGTTTATTTCTCTGTGACCATGTTTACCCTGCTGTTGTTCTAATCCAGTGTGCTCCTCCACTCTGTCGCTCCCCCTCCTGCAGCACGGTCCGGGCCTGTCTAGACCTGCTGCTCTCCTGGATCCATCGCTACATCGACAGCCAGGACAGCAGTGGCACACAGGCCTACTGTGACATCAGCCTGCACGGGCCCTTCTACACCGCCTGCCAGGCTGTCTTCTACACACTCATCTTCAGACACAGAGCCATGCTGGAGGGCAACATGAAGAAAGGTACACGCCTCTGGACTGCAACACACGACTCGGTTAGATAAAGGAGTCATCATACCACCCTGAATGCCTGAGTTTCATATACTGTCAGACTTCACTGTTGGTTCTTCAAGTTGGGTAAACCACACAGGGCGAACAAAGCTCATGAGTGTATGAAACAATACCTGCCCTTTAGCCCGTCAGAAACCATTCACACCAGGGTTTTAGAATTAATTGCAAGACATATTAGAGTCATTCATGGTTTATCAGTAGTAAGTGAATTGATTATACATTCTGATGATCAAATAACTATTTCATACAATAATGCATACTGCTTACAGCTTAAAAATTCAAAGATTCAGGTACTTTTGGTTGTCCAGTGTGTAATATTTAGGAGGATCTCTTGTCAGAAATGGAATATAATATTAATAGGTATATTTTCATTAGTGTATAATCACCTGAATATAAGAATCGTGTTTTTGTTAACTTAGAATGAGCTGTTTTTATCTACAGAGGGAGCGGGTCCTCTTGTCCACCATGTGAAACCACCATGTTTCTTACTAGGGAAGGAAGAGTTCAAGAGTCATGTGTTGGATGTGTTTGCTTTACGATTAATGTGACTTTGTTTCAGATTGCTATTTCTTTCCAGCCAGCAACCCAAAAATGGAAAACATGGCACAAATTGACATAAATTAAATGTGTGTGTGTGTGTGTGTGTGTCAGGTTTGGAGTACCTGCAGAGTCTGAACCTGGAGCGGGTGGTGATGTGTCAGCTGAACCCCCTCAAAGTCTGCCTGCCCTCAGTCACCAACATGTTTGCTGCCATCACCAGGTATTGTACGCACCCCGTCTCTGCTGTCACTGGCTCCAAACATCTGGCAGCAACTGTGCTGAGTGGTTGTTAGTGTTTATCAGAGGAATGTAAAACGTTTATAATGTTTATAAAATATTGTATCTTATCATAAGAGTAGACATAATTAGACTTTTGATACCTATGAACCATGAGTAAGCAGCATTGCTATTACAGCTGCTTGAGCTGGAGCCAGGTAGAATAGTCCAGCCTAGGGGTCGGTCCCTGGAAAGAAGGAAAACAAATGTCTATTCATTTTATTAAATTTTTCACAGGTTATCTGTCTCATGTTCTGCTGTCAGGATATAGTGAAAGTTTCAGCAAATATGACAAAGTTATTTTTTATAAAAGTTACCTACTGCAGCTTTGAATTTAAAAAAAATAATTTAACAATGTTTGATAAACTCATCATATGCTGTTTTAATGTAAAAGTAGAACTAGTAACTATATCTGTCAAATGAAAGTAGTGCAGTAAAAGTACCAGATTTCCCTCTTAACTGTAGTGGAGTGGAAGTAGAAAGTAGCATAAAATGGTGCCTCCAAGGTAGTATGGTATTTGAGTAAATGTGCTACGCTACGTTCTCCCACTGCCAGCTCACACAGTGGCTGATAGAGCTGTAAACCAACTTGTGTTTTTGTTGCAGGAAGTATCAGGTGGTGTTCTGCTACACCATCATAGAGAGGAACAACCGCCACGTGCTGCCGGTGGTCCGCAGCTCTGCAGGGGGAGACTCTGTGACCACCAACACCAACCCTCTGGACAGCTTCTTCCCCTTCGACCCCTACCTGCTCAGGAGGTACACCAGCTGACTGTTCTGTGGCTTTGTCGCTCTGTTTTTGGCCTCTTTTAACTCCTGTGGCAACATTTTTACTAGGCCTGTACAATTATCAGATCCAAAATTCAGCATTTTGCTGATCATTATTTTATCTGGTCGCTGATGAAATAAATTTGACATGTTCCAACACCGTTCATTCCTTCCTGATACCAATACCTGAACTTGCGTATCCGTTGTACCAGTCCAATACAAGTGTGTTATTATTTTTTGACACTTATATTATTATATAATTGTTATCACTGTTGAATGTTGCAGCTGGTAAAGTGGGTAATAATACTGCTGGGTAGATGAATCTGTAATAACACATTATCATTTATTAGTTTATTTATATTTTGTATTATTAATGTGAAACTGCAAAGAAAGTAGTGATTAATAAGTTAGTATCCTTTTTAGGTATCAATTCCCAAGTCTTTCTTAGACTGGATTTAATGCCCACCTTATCATATAGTTATCTCTGCAGGGCTGTCACATTCTCACTGCACATTTTCTATAAAAACCGGTTAATGTGTCAATAACATACCAATCATTTGTACATCTGCACCTTGTGTCACATTGTTTATTCCACAACTTGAAATGTTCACAGATGATACTTTACCTTTGAGACTGTGTGTGTGTGTGTGTGTGTGTGTGTGTGTGTGTGTGTGCGTGTGCGTGTGCGTGTGTGCATGCGTGCGCAGGTCTGGCCAGCTGATTGAGCCACTGTACCAGGTCTGGGAGGAACTCGCAGACACGGAGCTGCTCCCTGACAAAACAGGCCGACAGGTGAGCTGACAGAATCAAGGAGCACTTCACTATTGCACTGCCATAAAGCTGGGGACTTTCCAGAGGGGGGTTAGGACTGGACTATTTGTTATTTTTATCATCCAGTATTGTCTTCAGTTAGCTTTTTGTCTATAAAATGTCAGAAAATACTCAAAATGACAATTTCACAGAGCAAGGTGATGTATTCACATGTCTTGTTTCTTTACCCAGTGAACAATGAAACCGCTACATCCACACCAGGATGTAGCTGGAACCAGGGAATGGTGGGAAAATGCTATTACTTAAATGACGAATCCATTATCAAAGTAGTTGACGAATACATTTTCTGTCGATCAGCTAGTCAATTAAACGACTAATCATTTCAGCTCCAAAAAGAAGGCATCAATATCCGAGCAGCAGAGAATAAGGAATCCTTTCAGTCTGTAATATAGGTCCTAGTAATGCCCGGGTGAGGGGCTTTTAATACCCGCCCCCACCTGACCTGCTATAAGAGCCAGTCCACACCACAAGACCCGTGAAAGTATGCATTATAGAGCCTGTTTACACTGGTATTACCATCACAACACTCAAACGACGTGCAAAGGTGGTGTGGAACGTTTTTGACTACATTAATGCGTCTGTGGCCACACTGGAAGACCGCCTACATAACTGGCCTCCTGTAAGAAACACACTGTCTATTTGGTTCACTGTAATGGATAATATGTGTTTGGGCTCTCACCAAGGTAAGCAGCAGGTGTTTGTGAACACACTGTTTAAACTGATGGTAAGCACAATATCACCGGACTCCCTTTAAGGATCGCACAATTTTCAGAGTTGTTGAGTGAGGAGAAACTTTAGAAACTTTGTGAAATGCTGTCTATGACAAATTCTTCATGATTTCTTGTAAATTTGGCAAACATTATACATTCAATTATTGTCCCAGTTTGTGCGCTGGTAAGCAGGACACTAACAGACTTTCTTTCTCATCTGTGATGTAAAAATATCAGATTTCCACGCAGCTGAGAAAGTAAAAGCGAGTGTTTTGCTCATTACATTCAGTTATAAAATCCCCCAGCACACCACAGAGCATCTCTCCTGGGCTGACAGTGCAGGTAGAGCATGCCACTCAGGCTGATATAGGAGATAAGTATGCCACTGAACTGGGAAAAAATAAGAACATTGAATTGAATAGTTGAATTTCCGTATTGAACAGCCAAACGGACAGTAATATTGGACACTGACGACATTCAGAGCAGCAGGGAAGTGAGATCCAATCACAAGTGGTCATTCAAGACACGTGGACACATGTGAACTGGTTTAACTGGTGTTCATTTAAGCCCCCTTTCTAGTTTTAATCATAGAGGAAAAACATACAAATATTGGAAAATAAAAACGTGTGTGTGTCACAGGGCTCAAGGGAGGACGAGGATGACTTCCTGTGCGGGGAGACGCCCCAAGCGGAGGGCATTGTGGGGATGACACCCAACTCTTACGACTCCAACCTCCGCAGCCCGAGCAGTGTGGGTTCGCCCCCAATCTCCTTCCAGAGACCCTTCTAGTCCCTCATCACAGCCTCTCCTGTTCTGATGGGCCGCCCTGCTTTTGAGACAAAGTCCAGAAGCTTGTGAGGAGCACACTTCCCTTTGGAACGGAGAGAGAGCTGCCACACATGGACAGGAATCTGGTGGTGCACGTTCCATTCATCAGGATTCAAACACAAACTGAAGGACACACAAGATGTGACTGATCTCTTCTCGTACAACAATACCCACCTGTGTTCATTCATTCTAAGGGATTTATAGGACTACTTTTTCATGTTTAATCATGACAACGTGCTGTCAGTGTAGAAACTCCACTGAGAGCCCCAAACTGTACATCTTCTGATGAGGTAAGTTTGAACTCTACATAGACTGCTGCAGACTGAGCTTTAGAAGGTGGTATATTGTGAGCAGTAAAATATAGTTTTGAAATAATTTTTTTGTGTGTATTTATGAAACTCATCCTTCTAAAGCCCAGTACAGACTGCACAACATTCACACACACCCTCAAGTCAGGCGTCTTTACCTCACACTGTCCCTGATTTCAATTCCATGTTTGATTTTCTCGCTTGTAGTCTTAGCACCTTGGAGACAAGTTCTGTACCAAAATAAACTGCAATAAACACATTGAATCCAGACATCAGTTATTCCTTTAATATAAAACAGTAACAGAAAGATATGAGGCCACACCAAAGATACAGGACATTTCAGTGTTCTTAAAAGCATCTGCAGCTGTCCGTAGAAATAAAACCAATGTTCCACATGTAGCCTACGACTGACGTCTGCCTAGACTCGGTGACTACCAAACACAAGTTTACACAGCAGGAGCTACAGCAACATTAAAGTCGCTCCTGGATGCAGGAGACATCAACATGAACCATGCAGTGATACGAAGCCGCATGTGACAAACACGTCCAACATCTCGGAATACTTCATTCTTTGCCTTTTTAGTAATGAATAAGGGCACGAGGAGAGTTAGTAAGATGGAAGAAGGGACATTATTTTTCTACTTTTTGCTCGACGGTTCCTCTGGCAGAGCAAACAAGTGATGGAGTGTGACGGAGGCAGATGGCAGCGAGTTATTATGACACAGGAAGAACAGACCGGCTCTGGATTGTCCTTTACAGGCAAACGAGACCTCCTTTACATGCAATCCATGGAGTGAATCTATGTGTGTGTACGGGGGTGGGAAGGTGGAGGGGTTAGAAAAGAGGTCAGGGAGGAATATTAACAAGGTTTACAGCAGCGTGTGTGTTGCGGACTCGGTCATGCAGCTCCTCCAACACCACCTGCTGTCAGTGACACAAAAGAGAATTCCAGCAGACTTTTTATTTGGCAGAGCACTTCTCATAGAGACTTCTGTACATATAGAATCATCAAATGATGGGAGTCCTCGGGTCAGAGCTGAGTCCAATGCATCCCACTGCTGAACCCTCCATGAAGACGGTCGAATATTTCAAAGGAAGACACTAATTCGATGTGTGCGAGCAAGCTTTGGCATTAAAACGTTGCTGTGTTCGATCTATCGCTGTGAGCTGAGGATTTGAATTCACTGAGGCCGCGTCGTTATTTTGAGAAGGTTGTTGGACGGCGTCCTGTCTGCCGACTTCTGTGTGGTCCATCATGGGTTCAGCTGCTCATTTGGGCCTTTTCAGCCCGCCCGGGTCCTCCCACAGTCTTCTCTGGCTCTTTGATGCTCACACATGATGAGAGCTAACATCTGGGGCTGATGCTGCCTCCAACGCGCTCTCTGACGCTGCAGGTCAGTCACAGTAGGACAGAAATGAACATTATTCACCATCAACATGTAACTTTGCATCACATAAAAACAATAAATAGAACAAAGGAAAACTGAAAAATAGCCAGGAAGGAACAAATAAATACAAGAAAAATAGCTGCTTCAGGCAGAATCTCTAAAAAATGTCTTTTATATTCTCAGTATCATAGTCTGATGTGTTTGAAGTCTAAATAGCTAAAAGTAAAAGATGAATGGTTGAAAAAGTTACCTAAAAATGTAGAAATGATTGGGGGGGAAAGTGATGAATGGTCAAAATAGCTAAAAGTAACATATTTTCAAAAAAGTTCAACTTAGGCTAAAAAAGTTATCTAAAAATGGATAGTCAAAATAACAACATAAATAGTTGAAAATGGCTAAAAATGTATACATTATTAATAAAATCGTCAGAAAATTGATGAATGGTCAAAAACTTTAAAGTAACAGAAATTGTCAAAAATGCTAGCTAAAAGTGGATAAATGGTGTGGAACTGAAGGTATGGAACCACTGATCTAAGTGGTTTCAGCTGCAGTGTGTACCTTGGTCAGCAGGGAGGGTGCTGACTCCCGCCACCAGCTCTTTGGCCTCCACAGCCAGCTGGAAGGCGGGATCAGGAAGTGGTGACGGAGTGTCGGGGCTGTCGGTGGCTGGAGACGACCTGTTGCTCCTGACACACACACACACACACACACACACACACACACACACACACACACACACACACACACACACACACACACACACGCACACGCACACGCACAGGAAGAGTGTTATAGCAGGCCACTTCCTGCAGAGCTGTGGGGAACTCATAATGTGACCGTCTCTTACCCGCCTTCTCCTCCAAACAGGCTGGGTGTTGTCAGCACTTTGTGGACATTCTGAGGACAGAGAAGACATGTAAGACTGAACCAGTACAGACAGAAGGTCATCATGTGACACCAAAACAAGAACCTCAAGGTTGCAGAGAGAGAGAGGGGAGGTCTGATTCTAAAGCCTGAATGAGAGGCAGACTCGGACCCCTATAAACCTGACCCGACCGGGGTTTCAGGCCTCAAAGACTGGTCCATAAAGCTGCAGTAGCTAACTTTAATAAAACTATGTTTTTGTCAGATTTGCTGAAACTTATATCCTGACACAGAATCTGTATGTGACGCCCTGGAAATGAGACTCAACAATCAATTCTTTCTCAGCTCTGATTGGTTGTTTTTGTTCAGGCCCGGTGGATTCTTTCAAATCCCATTAGGAGCACTAGGAGGAGCCAGAGGAACCTGATTTCTTCACAGATTATCTGTCTCATGTGAGTGACATTTATCTTTAAATATAGTTTCAACTTACGTGGAAATGTCCTAAGAAAAATCTTCTTAAAATTGTGTAACTAGGAGCAATTCTTTGTGCTGAATATGGCCCCAGATATCAGTCTGGTTTACGAGATGTAGCAGAGAGCTGCAGTTTGTGTCTCCTCCACTGGGGGGCAGACTGGCTCTATAACAGTTTGGGATGTTTGGAACTGTCAACTGTTATTTTTGATTGGCCGTCTGTTAATTCCAGTGCATGAGACTGGAAGTGTCCCAGTCTGTGTGGATTATGAGATGAACACATGCTGATTTAGAGCCACACAGGCCTATTAAGTAATTACTGTTATCAAACTAACACTGGGAATCCTTACAAATATGGCAGTCATCTCCCAAACCAGCTACTGGCACAGAGTTTGTGTCAGTCCCTTCAGAGGAGATCGGCTCCTTCTTGAAGAGGAAGTTGTTGGGACTATTTTTTTTAGCAGCGGATTAAACAATGTTTAGTGTTCTTGTGTGTATGTGAGACAGCAGGACGGTGTGTGTGGGATTGAATTATAATAAGCTACAACATGTAAGCCAGTGCAACAGTGTGGCTCATTGGTGTGTTTAATAGTTTTTGGATCAACAGGAAGACGATATATCAGTACATGTTAGTGAATCCCATGCCCAGAGCCAATCAACTGATGCTACTGACAATAAGAAATATAGAAAATAACACGTTCTCCTGAACTGAAAAGCTCATGTCTATAAAGTGAGTGTGAGATAGTCGTACCTGTGCAAAGCCCAGCAGTTTCTTGTTGGAGATCTCCAGATGTTTCCTGCTCTGCTCCGACTTCCTCAGCTGGCAGTCAATGGTTGTCAGCCTCCGGTTCAGCTCCAGCACCTCCTCCTGAGACACACACACACACACACACTCTATCATTTGTGTGCACAGTAAGCACTAAGAGCAGCTGATAGCATTGTGTAGGTGTGGTTTCCATAGGGAACTAACAGTGGAACAGACTGAGGGAGTTCATTGTTCTCTGAGGATTAAGGTTGTGTGTAACTCAGCTTACATTCATTCCTCTGAAATGTCAACTTTTCATCATCAGGTGAAACAGCCCTGTTTACAGCTGTGTGCATTTATAAGATAATCCAGTGGGATCTTTAAAGTAGTAGAAAAATATTCCTAACCCATAAAGGAACACTTCATTCTCCAGATTTGGAGATGCATGGTCTTCCCTGGACAGCAACAATATGCTTTAAATTATGTAATATATGAGTTCTGTAAATAAATGATAATGCCCAAGTTCTGTTCATTTATACAGAAGAGCAGCAGAGTAAATATAGAAGAAATAGAGACCATAAACTGGAAACCGTTTACTGAGATAATGAATCAAGTCAGTTGGCTAAGTTCTCCATAAGGCTCAATACTATCAGAATTTGTTTTTGCAGCCAATTGAGCTGCCCCCTGCTGTCCGTTATTGTACGGTCAGTGGTGCCAGCTTTTAACCAAATTTCCCGAAAAATAGGCGGAAGGATGCACTTTTCCATCCACTGCTGTTCTGTAAACATTAGTTCATTGCTTTATGGACATAAATGATTGGTGGAGCTAATTCTCTGTCAGTGCCATTAAAGCATCGCAGAAGAAGAGAACACAAGATGGCGTCATTAAAAGGGCTGCAGTGGAAAACGTGATGGGAACACATTTTTGCTGGTTTCATGTAAGGAAGATTACAGTCGCCTCATCCTCCACGCACATCTGATGTTTTCAGCTCTTCATCGACGTTAACATCACTTGCTTGTCCATGTGTCCATTCACTGCGTGACTTCACCCATATACCAACAGAATGTTTTACAGCATTTCTATTCCAAAATGCACATAGAAAGTGAATGGAAAAGCAACTTTCAATCTGGTCTTTATCAAAGCTCTCTATGGACAGTCTGCAGAGACCAGGGAGGAGGAATGGAAGAGAAACAACGAAGGATGGAGGGAAGAAAGGAATGAAAGATAGAAAGAGGAAGACTGTATTTAAACTCTAACCACGTGACCGTGTCCTCAGCAGCTGTCACAGTTTTGTGGTCCTCAAACACTCACTGTCCTCATTTCTGTTATTCTCTCATCTCTGTCACTGGGCATTACTCTGTCTCACGGCGCCAGCGCACAGCCAGAGGATTTACCACCTGAGATGAAAAGCCACAGGTAGTGAGGCGGTAAGCCTGAGAGCCAGAGGAAATAAATATAAAGCCTTCTTTTCATCAGAGCAGCTGCTGGTGAAAGCACAGAGCTGTGTGGCTCCGTCACTGAGGCTGCTGCAGGGTCTCCAGCTCGAGACGGAGGATGGAGAGAGAGGCTCCATGTTCACAGTTGATTGTTGGCTCGACTTCACACCAGCTACAGAGGTTGTTATTATAAACAGCTGCTTTGTGCTGTTTACCTCCTGTCTGCAGGCACACAGGCACTCAAAGTGATGCTAACCAACCCACCAGCTCGTCAAATACTCATACAGTACAACACAATACAAATGAGACTCAACACTATCTTTCTCAGCTCTGATTGGTTGTTTTCGTTCAGGCTCGGTGGAGTCTTACAAATCCCATTAGGAGCACTAGGAGGAGCCAGAGGAACCTGATTGTTTCACAGATTATCTGTCTCATGTTCTACTACTACTGATATAGTGAAAATTTCAGAAAGAATATATTTTTGCTTTCTCTCCAATATAATGAAACCAGACAGCTCTCAGCTTGTGGTGCTCAAAGTATATATATAAAAAAACACATTTAAACTCAACAGCAATGTTTTTCCATGGTTCCAGAAACCATGATCCCGGTTACTCAAGATAATCCACAGACCTTGTTGTGAGCAGTTCAGTGTTAGAAATGTGTTACTGTAATTCCCCTACTTTTAGTGGTAACTAGCAACGTAACAAATTATGTTTTCAAATGATATACTGCAATTACAATTATTGAAATTTAAATGGTTTGTTCCTTTTGTCTCACTTTAAAATAGTGGACAACTGCAGAAGACAGCAGACAAACGCAGTGCGACTGAGTGTGTCCTGTTGATCTAAAGCAGAGGTCAGCAACCTTTAAGTAAAAGTTGAAAATTGAACTGAATTGAATAAGCAGTTAGAGACTCACCTTGGTGGCCTCCACTCCTCGTGCTTGCCTCTTGCTGGCCAGCTGGTTCTTCAGGTCTCTGATCTCAGCCTCCAGCAACTGGATCACCTCCTCGTAGTCCTGCTCCGCACCGCTGGCCTGCTGCTGGCCCGCCTCGGCCTCAGCCACCTGCAGACGGCTCTTCAGACGGGTGTTCTCCTCCACGGTCAAACACGCTTTCTGGGAACAGCCCCATATACTATATATTCAGACACCTGTAGCAGACTCTTTGAATTCACATCTAAACATTAATCTCACTGGCATTTAACTGGTTTCAACATGTAACCTGATAAAACAGCAGTCTGCTCTTACCTCCGAAGTCTTCTGCAGCTCCTCCTCCAGGCTTTTCTTGCTGTGCTCCATGTCCTTCAACATCACCTGCCAACAGAGGCAGCAGATGAAGCCCGGGAGCTTTTACAGCTGGAACCATCAGGTCAGTGGGTGTGAGCCCGCTGTGGCTGGCTGAAACCAGGCTACATAATCGGGGGAACACTCCCTTCTGCCCTCATTCATTTCATCTGGTTACCATAGACATGTGTCAGTTGGTTTAGTGCCAGCTGATAATGGTTAATGAATTAAAGTTGTGTGCTGAATATGTTGATAAAACCCCAGTTTTGATTCTTTTTATGGCCAACATTGTATTTGCATTCTGTAATGACGTCCCTACGTTGAAGCTTTCACTGTGAGATTCAGATGTGATTGTCACTGAGACTACTGATGACTAACTGTTTGGCCATGTCTGTATGTGTGTATGTGATTATCTTAACATTTTTTCGGCTTTTTACACCTTTTATTTTGTTAGAAATAAAGATAGACAAGAACATTGGTGAGAGAGAGGTGATGACATGTACAGGGTTTCCATACGTCCTGGAAAAGCTGGAAATGTAGAGCCTAGTTTTCCAGTCATGGAAACACCTGGAAATTGATTAAAATGACCAAATATCCTGTAAATAATCAATATTGTCCTGGAACATACTCACTCAGATCACCTACATAAACTGTGTGTGTGTATTTAGTTTTGAAACTCGACTTGGATAAACTGGATGACATTTCAAACAGGTTCACCAGATGTAAAGTGGAACTTTTTAAAATTATGGTGCAAATAATTACAGGCCAATAAGCATAGTGCCAACCATCTCTAAAGTTGCAGAAAAGCTGGTTGCACAGCAAATTTCTGATTACCTGAACACATCCCCTTTTTCACTGCATTCAATGCAATTTGGTTTTGGAGCTAATTATTCGACCGAAACAGCAAATTGTTTTTTCACCGAAAAAATTAAGACTGATGGACAGAGGTGGTGTGGTAGCAGCTGTCTTTCTTGATCTCAAAAAGGCATTTGATACGGTAAATCATAAAATCCTAGTCTCAAAATGATCTGCTTTCAACTTCTCCCCAGATACACTTAACTGGATACAATCGTATTTAGGAATGAGACAACAGCAGGTCAGAATTCAAAATCATCAATCAACTACCCTTGATTTATCAACTGGAGTCCCACAAGCTTCCATCCTGGGCCCAATACTGTTCAGCCTATATATAAATGATTTGCCATCAGTGTGTCCCAACACCTCATTTATGTGCATGGCAACAGTAGCACACAAGCTGCTAGTAAGTTAACACAGTCCCTGGGTCATGTAGCTGCATGGCTGGAGCAGTGCTGTCTACAACTCAACGTGTCCAAAACAGTATGCATGTTTTTTAGTAAATCCAAGACTCACACAATACCACCAGATGTGTACATATCAGGGGAGAAGTTGCAGGTGGTAACAGAATATAAATACATTGGCATTATAATAGATTCCAGGCTCTCATTCAAGTTGCAGGTGAAAAGGGTCGGTGATAGAGTGAAATTCAGCCTCTCAAATTTTAGAAGCATCAGATGCCAACTATCACCTGAAGCAGCTAAAATGTATATGCACTCCATGATACTGTCACAGATGATGTATTGTTTCACAACATGGTCACATGTAGGTATTTCTCAGCTAAAACCACTCCAGTCTTTGTACAAACAGGTCATCAAAACACTGGACAAGAAACCAAACCACTCCCACCACTGCCCAATCTTAAAAAAATACAACATGCTCAGCTGGGATAACATGATAAAATATGCAAATATGTGTTTAATGTACAAAGTCATCAACAGTCTGACATCCCCTCCACAGAATTTGTACAAGTTCGAACATCTGCATACCACTCAACGAGAGAGAGAGAGAGAGAGAGAGTGTTTTAAGTCTTTGCCTTAACTAATCACTTGTGTGATGTTCAACTATTGTATATTAATCCATTGTCTTCATTGTGATAATTCTGTTTTCTATTTTAATATTGTACATTGTATTGTAGTTTGACTTGTAGGTTGACTAGAACATCTGTCCAGGGACAACAGATGGAAAATAGCCTTCTGGCTAACTCTGGTGCATTTACAGGAATGTTTAATTAATGTACACTGTCCCTGTTAAAATAAACCAATAAATAAAAATAAAATAACATAACTGACTGCACTCATCTTTTAAACACTGAATCAATTTTTTCAGAGCTACAAGCGAAATTCTCATGTCTCCATGCAAACAGCCTATTCATGATCAAATCTCTTGTTGCTATGGTTGATAAATACATGCACAGTGATGTTCATTGTATTTGCAATGAACAGTTTAACTTTCGAAAAGATGAACGGAACTGAAACCTGGGCATTAGGTGAGCTACTGGGGCGCCCTGTTTAACAGATTATCTTTTGAGTATATGTGTAAGATACATATTAGCTGAATTTGAACTATTTACTTAACCTATGCTATACAAATGTTCAACAACAATGTTTTACAATGTGCATACTTTTTTTTGTTTATTTATTTTTGGGGCTTTTATAGAGGGAGAGAGAGAGAGAGAGAGAAAAAACACGCAGCAAAGTGCCACAGGTCGATCCATTCACCAATACATTGTGTGTGACAGTTTGTGTGTGTTCACCTTGAGCTGCTTCATCTGGGTCTGCAGCTGCTTCACCTCTGTCTGAAACTGCTCCATCTCCTCACTGCTATAGCTGCATTCTGACTCATATGTCTGCACACACACACACACACACACACACCACATTATGACACGTTACGTTTATGACTGTGTTTTTGCATTTTGTGTTTTCTATTCATCCTAATTCTTCAGGATCAGAACTCTGTTCAAGTATGAATTCAGACTTTTTACAAATCATCATCTTGATGTACTTATCTCGGAATTCTTTTCATCCGTTTATTGACATTAAATCACAGCATAAACTGTTTATTTTAGGCTAAGACCATAATTAAAGGGGGGTGAATATTCGCCTCGTGTTTGTTGGGAACACACCATTACAGAAGGGTAAATCTGCTCCACACACACACACACACACACACACACACACACACACACACACACACACACACACACACACACACACACACACACACAGACACACACAGACACAGACACACAGTCATACAGACTACAGGACTACAGAGAGGCTGTGAGGACTGCTTACGGGGGAGTGGAAGGCTGACGTGTCCATCAAACTGGCTGCTTCATGGTAGGAAAACATGAAGGGACCTGCCCCTAAACCAAGTTCCTCCAGGTTCTCCTGGAAGGTGTTCCGGGTGGCCTCCACGAAGTCTGAGGGTGGACAGAAAAGCACAGGTAGGAAATGTTTGCTACTAATGACAGAAAGGCCAGGGTTACCATGGCTACCAGGACACCAACTAATACAGTAAGAAATGGTTAAGAGTTTTATACAGACATAAATGAACAATGGTAGAAATGTTTATGCTGTTATTAACTGATGTCATACATTTTAAAAATCTATCTACCGGTTAGCTAGATGGGATTTAGAACATTAATATAGCAGCAAACAATTGTTAGCTATGTGAACATATAGTGGAGTCATTGTTTCCTGAGAAGAGAATTGACGTCACACTCCCCTCTGCCTGTGCTGTAATCCAGGTGCTGTGGTTTGTTTACATAGCTGGTCGGGCCACACGTGCTTGTTAGTGCATGTGAGTTCTTCTGTGTACAGCTGAGTAGGGCAACTGAAACGGCTGTTTTTATCATGTGTCTGTGAATTATGGATTTTTTTCCACCAACCAGAGTTGGTGATTGTTGGAACAGTGGAAAGTGTTTTGGTGAATTTTATCTCGTTTCTGTCAAGTTTTGCTTATGTTTCTATGTGAGGTATCGAATTAACCTCTCTCTTTCAAACACTAAAGAAGTGCTATCTATACTGCTGTTAGAAGAGGTAAGACACCAGACATAGACATAGCACGCCTAACATGGTCACCATTCATTGAATATATTGAAAAGTCCCTCACAAAAATAACTGTTCCCTGGTCAATGTCAATGTATAACCATGTGCTATTCAGAAGCCAAACCAGCTCCAGTCATAGAAATGCTTCTGCCTGGATACAAGCAGACACAGAGATGCCTTGTGGTTATGCAATGTGACACCACACAAAGTGACACAAGCAGTAACTGACATGCAGCCGTCACACGGAGCCTGTGACTTGACAGGATTTCAGCACAGATATTTCACCTTGCTGTTGACACAACTGGAAGCGTGTGTGTTTGTGTGTGTGTGTGTGTGTGTGTGTGTGTGTGTTTCTGTACGTGTGCTTTACCTCCATAGGCCACAGTGCCTTGTGGGTCTGTGGTCAGACTCTGCCTCAATTTCTTCCTCTTCTCTTCTGTGACATCCAATCCGAGGAAGGACAGAGCCTGAGAGACAGAGATGAAAGATGAACAGAGATAGAGATAAAGATGAAGACTTGGGTCATTTTAGCAAGGTGCCATTGCAACACTGCTTAAGAACTATAGTATGTACTGTCATCAAACAGCACACATGCCCGCTTAGGGTTTGTCTAATTCATATGAACAGATATCTTTATATAAATGCAGTATCTGAAGTATTTTGGCATTGGAAGCTTTCCGGTTTCTGTTTGTAGTCCAAGTAGTTTTGACCAGTCAGGTAAGCAGTCGACGTGGAGCATGAAAGAGGTGGAACACATTGGCCGTAATGCAAATTTGGAACTGTTCTCAACAGACGGTTTAGCTTTTTATTATTATCTTTTTAAAAATGGATCTACATACATATGTACCTGTTTATAGAGGTTTGTCTTTCTCATCATTCTTGCGTATCAAGGTTCCAATCACTTAGACTGCAGAGGAAGTATGGCCCAGATATTTGTTATCCAGATATAAGCTGGCTACATCGAACCCTGGGTTCTGAGATTGGGGTTTGTCTACTGAAAGTTGAAGCTCAGCGTTACCTGAATATAGTTGAAACTAGTTTGAACTTTGATGGAGGTAATGGAAGTAAACAGCTCAACTACATATAAAACATACAGCTAAAGTTTATAGACATTTTTAAGTGGGAATTTGACATATTATATGTAACTTCAATTTGGGCACCCACACCAAGCATGGGGGTGCTTGGTGCGTTTGTATCTTTGATCCACTGATAACATTCTGTAGAAAGGCTGGCCTTTATACACTACGTCATAGCCAGCTGTCGTCTAAACCACAACTACCCTCTGGTTTAGAATTGTATTATTGTACCCTGCTCAACCTTTAAAACAGTTTCTCCTTCAGCTCTTCCTTCGTTGGCTTTTTGTCCTTTGTGACATTTCCTCACCTATTACAGTAGCTCTCATAGCTAAAAATATCCATAATCCATCTCACTCTGTCTCTTTTGCAAAGGAGCCAACAGATCAAGAGAGAATTGTGCCTGTATTCAACATTCAAACTATCTGTCTCTCTAATCCCATTAATGAATTGCAAGATTAAGGTCAAACTAGGGCTGAGCGGGATCCGGACAAAATTAAAATCAAAGCTGAATAGCAGTAAGAGAACTGTAAAGATGCCCGAGACAGAAAGCAAGAGAACCAGGCAGAAGGAAATAGAGACCGTCGGCAGAGAGATAGGAGGCTGGGGGGCAGGGGTGTGAGGGGGAGCAGGGAGAGGATGTGCTGATAGGGTAAAAATAATGTACAAATGAAGAACCCGTGTGAGATAGAGCAAACCAGAGAGACTGCGAGAGAGAGATCAATAACTAGATGAAGAGAGAGCTTGGGGGTGAAAAAGTGCTACAACAGTGAAAAAGTTGCAAGTGAGTTTATCAGAATGAGAAGAATCATCAGTGTAAATTTGCTTCATGGGGCTCCTTAAAGACAGACTTTCCATTTTGGAATGCCATTAAAGTTACTGAGCACATGCATTTTTACATCTAACAAGCCCATAGGCTTTCTATGTTAAGCCACGATACTGGTAAGGCTCTGATAATGGCTAACCTGCACTGTCAGCCAATCATCTGAAATGATATGCTGTGTTGTAACCACTTGACAGAGAGGTGGTTGAGCAGAGGAGGATTCATGCACAGAAGTAAATACCCCAGAGCCTGAATAAACCACTGCAAACACATGTGGCGTCACACAGCAGGGAGAAATAGATTTAGCTGCATGGGTCGAAAATGACTCCTCTGAGCAGAGGACCGCACTCACCAAGTCTAACTTGTCTGATTTGAGGCGGATGTAGGGGTCCAGTGTTATCTTGGGTTTGGTCCCCGTTGGCGACCTCTGGCTGGTTGAACCTTTAGAAGAAAAAAAAAAAGGGGGGGAGGAGAAAAGAAAAAAATTAAATAGAGGATTGATTTTTTTGTCAAAGACATGACCATATAAAAAGTATATTTAGAAAATATAGTATTTATATGAGATATGGAAGCATTTAAGAGAATGAAGGGAGTATATGAGGTCACAATACACAAGGTAAACAACAGGAGGAGAAATATCATTGGATAATCTGTAATATCAGAGTGGATGGACAGATATTCCCGGTGGATTTGGTGGAAGTGAGTGGTTGTGGTGATAAGGATGGTGTGTGTGTGTGTGTGTGTGTGTGTGTGTGTGTGTGTGTTTGGGTGGGAGGATGAAGAGCAGATGATTAAAAAGAGAGGAGTGGAGGAAAGGTGGATGATTATATAGATGAGAGTGAGGGAAAAACAGTGAGCGAGGGGAGGGCAGACAGCCAATGCCTAATATTAATTTGATGAGTTTGTCTGTCCCAGATTTGTGTCTGCTTGCTGTGAACCTGTCCTCTGTGTGTGTGTGTGTGTGTGTGTGTGTGTGTGTGTGTGTGTGTGTGTGTGTGTGTGTGTGTGTGTGTGTGTGTGCGTGAGAGAGAGAGAGAGAGAGAGAGAGAGAGAGAGCGAGAGAGAGCGAGAGCGCACTGTTACTAGGGGTATGAGCTGATTTCACTGACTACACTCCCTCCTCTTACCACCCAAAGGATTTGCAGCCCCCCCAACGGGTGCTGATGATTGACAGACCTGCTGTCGTGACAACAGCCGTGCTTTAAACCCTGTTACTCCCAGACACCAGTCCACATCATACAACTTGTTGTTATTCTAGTATAAAGACTACAATAATTTGGCAGATTTACATTGTCCCACTTGAAGTAAGGAAACAAATATTGCACTTCTTTAGTAATTAGCCATCAACTGTCTTTTTGTTTTTGTGTACCATCATGTGTGTACCAGTTTTTGAGTTCATTAACAAATTTCAAAGCCTGTGGTTGTATAACAGCCTTTGAAAACCCTTGAAAATAAAACTAGTGCACAAATGATGTCAACGGTGAGGTCACACAAAGACAAGAAAAAAATTAATTATTATGTAAAACATTTTGACTATGACTTTTTGTCATATTTGCTGAAACTTTCCCTCTATCCTGACAGTAGTACATGAGACAGATAATCTGTAAAAAAAAAAAAAAAAAAAAAAATCAACAACCAATCAGAGTCAGATCAGGGAGAACATCAATTTACAAGCTCAAATCTTACTGAGGGTTAGGGTTAGGAATATCCAGGAATTTACACTATAGACACTATCACTGACCATTCAGCAGCAGCAGCAGTAAAAACTAATATCTTGACAGCCTCTTAGCAGCCCACATCACCACCATGTTGTAGTCACTGTTGCCATAAATGTATGCCTGTGGATTGGTTCTAAATTGTACTTTTCTGTTAAACTGACATTTGGTTACCGCAGTAGCCTTTTCTTGACAGAAGCATTATGCTGGATTCTCTACACACTTACAAACTCTGTTTCGTCTTGCATCTTTTAGATGATTTTCTAGTAGTTGACTTCCCCTTGTCCCCGCCAGCCCACAGTATCTCTACAGTCAGAAGCTTTTCCAGGAGTTAGGAGTACCGCCTTCCGAAGAGAAACTGTAGGCCCTTCCAATTTTTTGGCATAACCCTTGATAGTGTGGTCATGCAAGCGTCTCTGCAACAAGACAAGCTGTCTTGCATCAGAACAGCTAGCAATCTGGTCTGCCTCTCTAACTTCGCATGTCCCTCAAGGTCATCCATATCACGCTTGCTGGTTTTGGCTAAATTGGTTAAGATCTTAAGATACTGCAGCTAAGACAGACTTAAGATACTAAGCTGTTGCTCAGATATGCGGTTCTAGTCTTTGCCTTGTGATGATGGACCGGCATTTCTTTTTATAATGAGTACATGGAATCTGCAGATTCCCCCTAGTTTTGACTGATGCGGTGCCTCTGTTGGTTTTGGGGGGTTCTCATAATGAGTGGTTTGCAGACGACAGAAATTCAGTCCCTTAAAACCAGTTTTAAATTCACTGCTCTTTATGAACTCTACCCAATTGTCGTTCGGAGCAGCAGATGGTCCCAGAAACAAATGATGTTTTTTTTTTGAGCTGCTATAGTGGAAATAATTTACAGTTTGTGCATTTATTGTTTTTACTTGAATCCTGTCATCTTCAAATGCAAAGTATCAAAGCTATGCTAGCAGGGATTCAGTTTCACATTCGATGTAAAGATCTTTGCCATATGGGAAATGTTCCCGCATGAGGTTTGCCAAGTAGTATATTCCCTCATAACTTGAGGTGCTCATAGGGAATAACCACACGGCAAAGCCCACACATAGTAGTTCACTAGATAGTATATTCCTCTGGGGCCAAGGTGCTTCCGGGGAATGGCCACACGGCGGCTGGTGCCAAGGCCCACACATAAAAGATTCTTCCACTAGTAGCGTCAGGCTCCATTCCGTGCGGTTTTGGGGGGTTTAAGGTATTTGCTCATCACTCCCCAATATCTCTATGTAAGCATATCTGTGGGGAATGATGAGGTCGGAGCCTAGACGCCAAAATCTAAATATGCTATACTGCTGTAATAAACATTTCAAACGTGAGTTGGCTGACTGAAATGTAGCGAAGCCTGCGAGCTAGTTCAGGCAGTCAACTCGAGCTGCACTGCTATACACACATGACATGCCTCACTCCATAATCACTAACCAAGCACACCCTTCCAATCTGGCGGTCTATTTAAACTGCACAATTTCCCAGCTCTCCCTCTGCTCTGTCTATGCTATACTGCTGTAATTAACATTTCAAATGTGAGTTGGCTGACTGAACTATTTTAATAATAATTTTTTTTTTTTCATTTTAATTTGTTTTAAAATATGCAAATTCTCAGATTTCAGCTTCTCAAATGTGAATATTTTCAGGATATTATTTTGGGCTTTGGAAAACGGCAATTATTATTTTCCACCGTTTTCTGACACTTTTTGAACCAAACAACTAATTGATTAATTGATAAAGTGATCGTCAGATTAATCCATAATGAAAATAATTGTTAGTTGCAGCCCTGCTTGAAGGTCTCTCATAATGTTGGCTTGAACATAGATGAAACATGGATGATATGATATGCTTGAAACCATGAACAGCTGCTAAATGAACCTCGAGGTAAGGTTGTTCAGTCGATAAGTGACCCTTTTTTGAGCCCTCATAAGTACGATTACTCTTTCGTTCATGCCCCATTCATAATGGACTAGAATTTCCTCAGATGACTTGGACTTGAGGTTTTGTTTTCTGCAGTGACTTTGTAGTGGTTAAATAAGTTAATGTTTTAGTCAAACATACTGTCGTATGTCTGCTTGGTTGGAGCTCCCTCTCTACATGGGTCTCCCTGCTACCATAAGTAGCCATAAGTTAGTCACAAACTAACAGCAACCACAGATAAAAACAAGACATCCTTGTGTTTACTCAAATATGGTCGACAATTTTTGGCAGATTTTTATTTATTTACAAATTAAGATTAAGACAGATGAAATATAATAGGACTCCAGGTGATAATAGCTTCATGCAAATAGGGATTTATACATATCGACACAGCTACGTTTCTCTCCCTAACAGGACTAACACCTTTGATCTTTCCTTTAGGTCAAACACTGCATGAAACGTAGTGCGTAGAGGAAGGTCAGGCTGTCTGGGAGGTCATCTGACTCAAGGTTTACATGTGTATGACCCAGCGTCATCAGTGGGGTAAGAAGGCTTAAAGGGGCACTCCAGAAATTGAGATGGCAAGTCTATAAAGTTGGGGAAATTATGAGAAAAAAATAGGGTCATCAGTGCAGCAGAAGCGGAGATATTGTGGCTTTCAGTCCCTAGTATGGGTCAAGCTACAAAAGACAAGATCTTACATTTCCCATCATGCAATAGTGCCTATTTCTGGTGTCTTTCGTCTCCCTAATGAATATGAAGCCAAGATAATTATCGCCAAACTAATTGCTGATGATTGCTGAAGATGTTTTGGCTTCAGTTTTGGAGAACTGCCATGTTCATCTATATATTTCAATGGTGCTAACCAGCAGCCACCTCACCACAAACTGCAGACATCTGTCATGGCTAGCAACTGGCTTAACCAATAAGAGCTGGAGGGGAGCTAAGTGGTCATAGCACCTAGGAAATAACCTTGACTGGGGTAATCCAGGCCAATAGGATTGGGACAGGCTGTCGGAAGGCTTTGAGCTGGGACCCAAGCAATTTTTTCTTTAACTAAAAACTGACTGTTTATATTGTTTTCAGTCCTCACACTTGTTACACCTAAAATTCATGTTATTTAATTTAACAATACCTTAACTGAGGTGTGACATTTATGTTTGTTTATTGTCACACTGGTATCAGTCTGTTTAAGAAGAGAATTGTCATCTGAAATATTTCACATCTCTGCTTGACAGCACATTGACTGCATTCTTTCTAATGGCCAGTAGGGGGCAGCTCCATGGGCTGCAAAAAAGAAGCCTGCTAGAACTAAGTCTTATGGAGAAATGAGCCGACTTCTTTGTTTTCTTAATGAGTTTATGGTCTCAGTCTCTAGTTTCAGTCTTTTTCCATACAGCATGGTGTTCATTTAGTAAATGATGGTTCCATTTAGAGTAAAATAGGCCATAAAGCAGGGTATGCTTTAGGGCGGGGCTACCTTGTGATTCACAGGTCATTCTCAGTGAGTCCGTCCAGCTCAACACACCAAACTCACATCAAACTGTCAAACTAGGCAGTGCTGATCAGATTCTGTTACTTTGTTGACTGTTTCTCTACTACTTCCAGAAACATATTTTAGTGTACTGTTTATCTGGAATACAATATCGTGTGTGACCAGGCGAGCTGCCATTGTTTCCTCCTACAGATGAGTCAAAACTGTGCAGCCAATGAGAGCAGCTCAACTCACCACTGCTGGCTGCAAAACAAACAACATGGCTTCAAAATAGTACTCCACAATATTTTCACACTGGTTCAACCACCTTCCTTAAATTGTCAGTTGTGATATTTTCACAAATCCAGAAACCTGTTAAGTCTTCCAGAATGTTAAAAAATAGTTGTGTAGTAGTAATAGTACAGTGTTTCTCCTTCCGACCAGAAATGTGGGCCTTTCTTTTGTGAATGCATCTCTACTCCAGCCTTGAAAAGTGTTGGCTAGGCTTTATTTAGAATCATCTTAAATTATCATTAATAATCATTCATGAACTGTCTAGGCTTGGGTTATAGAGATTTTCATTTGTGTCAGTCACAATACAGAAACACTGAAGGCTGAAAATCAGATCCATCACAAAACTGAACTGCATTTTCTTCTTCTCCCTAACTGTTTTATTTAAATCAATTCTGTCTTTTATTCCCTATCCAATACAGAAACACCGGTGCTTAAAACTAAAGAACAATAATGAACTACACCCACTATTATTAAGATGGGATTTTTTCCATGATCCCTCACACTCTTGTGAACTCTGAGGTCCCCTACTGTGCTGTGGTTTCGATTAAATCCCATCCTCTCTTCTACACCTAATCCCCAATCTCTGTGAGGGAGCACATGTTCCCCGTTTTTTTATTCTGGGATGAGCTGGGTTTATCTAATATCTGATTTCAGGGACTTTTAGAACAAATCAGTGAAAATCTCAACTCTGATTTGGCAGGTGCTTAGAAGGTTATTTTATGGCAAATATATTATAAAAGTAAAGAGGGTGATGTGGATAACGATGGTGTTAGTGTGGCAGGGGCACCACCAAAGGGGGGCAGAGGGGGGCAATGGCTCTGGCCACAGGTCTCAGCAGCAGAGGCAGGTACTGATTTTTATTAAAAATATGAGAAAAAATATAAGAAACTAAGAGTATAGGGAGGTGTTCTACCTGAAATATGGATATCTGGCGGGCAGATGTCAGGAGAAGATGAGGACACAGGGGCTGGCTCCTCTGTACAGATCTACAAAGAAAAAGGTAAAAATAAAAACAATGGATGTAAAAATTGACAACACACAAGATGATAATATTAACACTGACCAGTTGGTTTTGAAGCTGCTTTGGTAGGATGTCACAGAGATCTTTGACATGATAGTGCCCTGCTATTTATTCATCAACTACTGCACATCACAGAACGGCTTTCATTCTAGTGTGCCACCGGAATAATTTTAGAAGAATTTACAAAATCAGAATAAATTCATAAATTGGTCAATTTAACAAACCTGAATAGCAGAACAATAGAAGAACAATGCAACAAGAACACGTTTTCTTTCTTTCATCCTTTCTTCAGTTGTTACAATATCGATTAATTAAGAAAAAAAAAGCGTCTTTTTATTGGTCCAGCATTGCCATTGTGCAGATTTTACAGACATTTTATAATGTATTCCTATCCGGGATCAAATGAGTAACCCTAAGTGACTAACAACTAAATATAGTATGGTACAGACATGGCTGTATCTCAAAAACTATAAGGAGTTATATTATGATTCCACTGGATTCAGAACAACTTCAAATTTCAATAATTGTTGTTTTGATCAAGTGTTGATCCAGCGTAAATCTGATATTTAACATGTTAAATGAATGTTAACATATCTTTGTGTTTTATTGTGTTTTTATTAGCTGGTAATGACCTCTAAACTTTAAGTTCTTCTTCGCAGAATCTTCTCATCAACTTTTATTTTCCATCCTAAAACAGTTGATACAGAAGCCTTCAATGTGTTTTATAAACCAGTAAAAAAAAAAAAAATTTTGTGGCTTCTTATTTGTTTCCATTGCTAGAGCAATAAAATAGTCCAAAGAATTTCCAAAACCATGACATACTGTGATATGTTTTTGATCCCTGAAACAAAGCGTAGCTGACCTCAGGGGATCTGATGTGGACTTTTAAGCGACCAGAGTTGTAGTTGTTGCCTGTGGCTCGCTGGATCCCGTTGTGCAGAGATGTACTGCTTGGAAAAAGTCCTTTCCCTGGAATGAAGGCTATCTCCACTGCACCGTCTTGGCTGAAGACACAATATATAGAATACAAAGATTTTATAGAAAAAGAATAAGAAATAAGGGGTGACTGTAGCAGTGTATATAGCTGGCTAATCCACCCAGTCATCACAGTCTCAGATTCAATGACTCAATGGGTATGGGTATTTTAAGTCTACTTGCACCACCTACTTGAATTTGACTTTGTTCAGCATGCTTTTGGCCTCCTCGTGAGTCACACCTATCAAAGACTCCTTGTTAATGGCGATGAGCTGATCTCCAGGCCTCAGACGTCCATCCTGCACAACCATGAAACAGGACATTTAGTCATGCTAATCTGAAGAACCACACTGTTTGCCTTTAATGGCTCATTCAGTTTGTCACATTTTCATGTTTCTGCTGCTTTTTATTAAGAAGTCAGGAAATCACCAAGTTTATTAGGATTCATCCTCTGAGGACCATGGATTTCTATACCACATTTAATGGCAATCTAATAGTTGTCTAAAAGTGAGAGATACTGAATGTTGACATTTTCGTCTGGACCAAAAGTGGGGGACTGACCACCAACATTGCCAGTCCTAGAACCCTGCTGCTAGCACTGACAAATATTCGGAAGCATAGGCCAATGACAACGGAGACAAGGTTGGTTGCAGACTGCAACTAACTGAATACTGCTCGCGTCTGTATTTGATGACCTACTGAAGCGTACTGTAAAGTGTATAGGAATAACTATGGTGGCCGCAAAAAAACCTGAAAGGCCCAAGCTACAGCCAGTGTTTGGCTTGTCCGTTCTGGGCATAGCGGTTCAACATCGCAAACTCCACAGAAAGCGACCCGCGGCATCTGTAGATAAAATACAGCTCATTCTAAGGTAACAAAAATTATTGTTTTTTTTCTTTGTAAAGCTAAGAATATGTTAATGCTCAGAAGTTTTTGCTTGCCGCCATCGCCAAGTGCTTGCTCATGGTGGTACTGTTGGGTCTCTGTAAATAATGTTATAAAGAGTTCGGTCTAGACCTGCTCTATTTGAAAAGTGTCCTGAAATAACTTCTGTTATGAATTAGCGCTATACAAATAAAATTGAATTGAATTAAATTAGTTTTCATTAAAATGTGTGAAAGGGAAAATGTGGTTACCCAGACTGTAGTTTATTCATTATCTCTACTAGTAAATGTAGCCACTGAAGATTATCTTTTCACATATAACCCTATACCAACAAACTGCTCTGCACTGTGTGTTCTGACACCTTTCTACCAGCATTAACTGTTTCAGCAGTCTGAGCTACAGTAGCTCGTCTGTTGGATCGGACCACGGGCCAGCCTTCACTCCCCACGTGCGTCAGTGAGCCGTGGCCATGACTCTGTCCACCACTTTTCCTTCCTTGGAGCACTTTTGATGACCTCTGCAGACTGGGAACACCCCACAAGAGCTGCACTCAAATCCTCACACTGCCCATTTTTCCTGCTTCTAACACATCAATTTGAGGACAAAATGTTCACTTGCTGCCTGATATATCCCACCCACTGACAGGAGCCATGATGAGCAGATAATCAGTGTTATTTACTTCACCAGTCAGTGCTCACAATGTTATGGCGGACAGGTAAAGGAACACAGGGGCCGTCTACAAGAAGGGCCTGAGCTAGTTCTACTTCCGTGGAGGCTCAGAGGCTTAAACATCAGCAGGATGCTGCAGCTGTTTTACCAGTCTGTGGTGGCCGGCGCTATCTTTAATACTGCAGAGTGCTGGCAGTGAGAAGCGCTAACAAGCTCAACAAACTAGTTACAAAGGCCATCTTAGTCATTGGAGGAGGAGTTGGTGGTGCTACTTTCTGTGCTTTAAGGACTTTTTTTTTTTACTTTCATGGTGATAATGGTGCTTGATTTGATAAAGTATCTATCCATCCATCCATCTATCCGTCCATCTATCTAAATATCTATCTATCTATCTATTGTTATGATAAATGCATGGCTGCATAATTCCCCAGCTGACTCATCCCATACAGCAAATCACACAAATGCTAGCCTGCTTCCTATATGACACAGGGGATTAAGAGTTGGGATTTGGAGGAAATGGACAACCTGCTTCCATAAGCAGAAGACTGAGAAGCTGAGGGAGTCGGTGTCAGCAGCTGTTGTAGTAGAGCCAGGCATTAGTGTACAGTGTCGAGTGAGTTAAAGAGCCTTAATGACAGTGTGGACATACAGCTCTGCTTTACCGTGCCCTGTCTCGAACAGTTGCATGTAGTCTTACTACCCTGTACCATCTACCATCTGTTGAATGGGATTTTAAGTCTGAAGGTCAGAGAAAAAATTAAAAAAAATGGGCCAAAAGAAATGTAATGCCAACAGCACTGTAGCCTCCTCCCTGAGAATAACATTATCAGGAGTGATGCTGGGTTAATGCAGTGTGTTTAAAGTTTAAAGGTGCTTTTCTGGTGACTTTCAGACTAGATGAGAAGGAAATTGGTGTTCATGTGACTGATCAAATTTCTTCCTAATTTTCTACTTGCCGACAAATGCCTTCAGATCACATGCAAATCGGGGGTTTGTTCGGCGCTTGATGCCTATGTGTGAACTGTTCAAAGACAATGCAAGAGCTCGCCGATGCCTTGTTGAAAAAATAGTCACAGCCATCATATAAACCCATTCTGTGTATTGTGTACCAAAATTCACAAATCAGTTGTAAAACAACTTTCCACAGGGATCACTGGATATACTCTTAGCCCTGAGGCCCTCTCTGTGATTCATTGGCAATTTGAATGATGTAAAACCTTGCAGGACATATGCAACAAGAAAGATCTGTTTAGAAACAGCTTTCTTCAGGCACAAAAATACAAGTGCAGATTCCTGTATTTTCTGTCTCTCCCCTTCATTCTCCTTCCTTGTCATACTGCCCGCAGTTGACAGTGAGTGGGCGAACAGAGAGGCAAGGAGGATGGGATTGGGGAGAGAGAAGCAGGGAAGCTGGAGAAAAGAAAGAAAGGCAGTGATATGTGCCAACAGGAGGGGTGGGTAGGATTGTCTCAGTGCACATGCCTATAGGATCATTTTAAGGTTGTGATTGTTAGTTAGACAAGAGGCAATCTGTGCAATCGAGACTTTCAAAATAAAACTGTTTCAGTTTCGTTGAAATGAAGCCAAAATATTGGGCATACGCCGCTGCCATCTTGTGCTGGTGACGTCATTCGGAGCCAGTCTGCGTAGTAGTGATCAGGGTAGTGCCGCTGTATCAAAGTCCCGCCCATACCCCCGGCCTACTCAATCACAAGTAGGGCTCAGCTGTCAATTCACGTTTTCTTACTAAAAAAATGAACACTTGAAAATATATCAGCGTGATAAGAACTACCAAAAATGCCAGAAACCATCTTTGGGGAAAATGTATTTCCCCTATATATACATATTGATGGTTTAGGCACAAAAACTACTTGGTTTGGTTTTAGGGAAAGATTGTGGTTAGGGTAATAAGTATAGAAATAAAAAAAAAAAAAAAGAAAAATTTCACACAAACACCAACGGGTTTTTTTTTCCCCCCCCCCCCCCCCCCCCCCCCCTTGAAAAAAAAATACATACACATACAGCATCCTGCTAATGGAAACACTGATTAGAACACTAAATGTGGATTAATCCACCAATGAAACTAGTCCCCAATAGATGTTTTATTTCCTCCAGTTTGAGTAACATTTATTAAAATCTACGGTGACCAGAAAATTCTCTCTTTTTAAAATGAATGTATATATTTGTTGGCCATTGAAGACATACATTTTTGAGAAACGCTAAGTGCTACACACAAGATATGGACTGAAGGTACTGCTGCTGCTCCCATAGACTATGCATATCTACCAGTATGCAAGACAAAATCCTCTGCATTGCAACTGTGTGTGTGTGTGTGTGTGTGTGTGTGTGTGTGTGTGTGTGTGTGTGTGTGTGCGAGCAGCAGCAGGTTGATGCCCTAAGCAGAGTCCTAGTTTGATGGCTGACCTTCACACTGCAGTGTAGTGTGTCTGTTCTGGGACTCTGGGACTTCTCTAATAGAGCCGCACTGACACCAAAACAACACAAACGCCACAAAACGTTCAAGGGGTGTTCAAAATTCTATAATCCAGCGTGAATTCCTAAATATTCAACAGAATTTAATGAACTGACAGTGCTGTATTTGTCACCTTATGGTAATTTCCTTCAGGGAAAGGTGACACTACAGATTACAGAGAAATGACTGTAACTCTGTGTTTTAGGAGAAACAGGACAGGAAGTTTGGTAGTGCAATTTATCTGTGCATGATTTTATTACTTAAAGTATTAAAAGTTGTACCCTTTTCCTAAATAACACCTATTAAAGTGTAACTAGCTCCCTCCCTCTCAGTAAATTAAAAAATGCATCAGAGTCCTGCTAAGGACAGTAACTTTAGGGGGCGTGGCCTTGACGTCAAGCACATTCATGGCGGTTAGTTTGTAACAGTTTCTGTGTGCTACCTGTGTTGTAGCTAAGCAACTGCCTGTGCTGTAGCTAACAGCTCAGAGATGCTAATTGTCTTGTATGTGTGTATGTCTTGCAGTCTGGTGCTTCTACAGCGTACAAGTACAAGTCCGAACCACTGCACCAGAATAGAAAAATACAAAGTAGAGTGTTAGCAAAAACTAGCATTAACACAGACTCAAAGCAGAAGCTGGGGGAGGTGGGCCGCCCTCCTCTGATAACACTCTTTTTATTTTTATAGAAATGTCATGATGTAAAGTGGACTCCTTTACTACTAAACCGCCTCGCCTTACAAGGTTCTGGGTGATTTAAAACAGTAGAGGGCATGTCCTTGACAGTCTGATTTGGAATGTTAATATTAACACCAGCATTGATGTGTTTCATAACATTACAGTCATATAATTAATTTACATCTCAAAAAACAAATCAAGTTAGGGCCTTTGGAGTTAGGAGGCTAGGATTGTTTTGTCCACTGCTGTGTCAAGTATGAAGACTGAACTGTCAAACTGGCTGGCTGTCTTTATTGTAGATCCAATAAAGACAGCTAATTACTAAATGCGTCTTTATCTAGCAGAGAGAAGCTCAAATAGCTCTACACTACTACAGCCGTGCTTCTTAACCTAATATTATTAACCCCAATAAGGAGTATTGGCAACCTACAGCACTCACCCAACTTAAGTCCCAATTAACACCATTTCAGCAGTAGTAACAGATCCCTGTGACACTGAGACTAACAGCATCATAAGCTCTCACTTCATCACCTGAGCTTCTACTAAAGCCCTGATGTGTCAGGAGAATGTCTCTAATGCAAATGTAAAAATGTTGAGGCAGGACCTCAACTAAGACTAAAATGTTTTCGTCATGCTCCCCTAATCATGTTAAGGTACATGTAAAAGCCTGTGCCATGTTTGAGATGGATGATCATACATATCTGTGACAACTATGTGGCTGGAGGTAATGGGCTGTTACTCTGTGTCTGTTTTAGACAGATAGTCACCGAAACGGGACCGGCAGGCTGTGACCTGAGCAAAGCTCAGCAAGTATTTTACACTAATCTGAGGCCAAAGCTGCAGAGGTCTGCACATGCACTCCTTACTTCCCCTCTTCAGCCCTCTACCTTCCTCCATCATGTTCACTTCATTTCCCTACAAGAAGTCCCTCACTGCTGCAGTGCATCAATCTCAGTCATGTTTCCAGATATCCCTCCAGTTCTGAATGTGCCAGGTTACTTAAGTGACAATATTATTCATACTACATACAATTCTGTAAGGTACTGGTTCTTTAACTATGGTATGTATACCACTGGTGGTACGCTAGGTGCCTCTAATTTCTGTAAACACTGTTGAATTTTTTTTGTCTTGCCAGTGTTTATTTCTCATTTACACAAAAAAACATCCAGTTATGGCTCAGGGGAAATTACTCGCTTTGCTACACCCTGTCTTTCCCTCCCTTTCTGTATATTCAGTTTTGGGGTTTTATTTCACTCTGCCTTGGTTTCTTACCCGGTGACAGTCGCCACCAGACAGCACTTCCTGAATGAAGACCGCCGGGCCGTCGGGCCTATTGGAGCCTCCTCCGATGGTGATGCCCAAACTGCCTGATCGCGCCACTGAGATGAGCTGAATCACTCCTTCACCTGGATGACTGAGAACATGAAGACAAACACAATCACATAAATCTCTGAATTAAAGAAAAGGCTCTATTTTTGGGAGTGAAAGCACAGAGTGCAGTCAAGTGTGCCATGCCCAGTGTGTCGAGGGAGTGCAAGCGCACTTTTTGTACTACTGGAGCCAGGAGTCTCTGCCACAGACCTTTTGTATACATTAACGTCCATTATCCCTCTCTAGCATCACTGTCATAATTCTGCACAGTATGATATATCAGCCAATATCACAGATGTATTGTGGTCCACAGATATAGGCCTGGTTTCCATTACATAGACACTAGAGGTGTTGAAATTAATCAAATAATCGATGCATCGCGATGCAGACATGGACGATACTGCATCGATGCAGTGGCCGACCATAATCGATTATGACGCAATGATGTTGCTCGTTAATTTTACGGCCGCGGCATAAACATTCAAATAAAAAATAACATTCTCAGTAGACCATTTTTTGAGGGTCTTGGTCTTGTCTCGGAATCGAGGCCATTTTTACTGGTCTCGTCTCGGTCTCGGACTGGGTTTTTTTAACGAGACCGGTCAAGACCACTGCCAGTGGCGGACTGGCCATCAGGAGCACCGGGACATTTCCCGGTGGCCTGGCTACCGAATTGGCCCGCTCGGCGATTGCCGTTGGTCGATATCATAGGCTCGGTTCGGGTCGCGCTTGATATTTAAATAAACAATCCATCGTGCGGCTCATTAGGGTCTGAAGCTCACACAGACTGAGCAGCAGCGTTGGGCACAAACACCCCCTCTCCTCTTTTTCTGAGGCTCTCTGTCACAGCCCTGCAGGCACACACACACACACACACACACACACACACACACACACCGCCTGTCGCCTCTCACTCTCTCCTCTTTCAAGCATGTAGTACTACAGGTTGAAAAAGGGAGTGAGATCGGAGGGGCGTGGGTCTGTGTTTGTGTGTGTGTGTGTGTGTGTGTGTGTGTGTGTGTGTGTGTGTATGCTGTCTGCTGTGTTGAGTGTGTGTATGCTGTCTGCTGTGTTGAGACTGTTAAATAGAAAAGATTGTTTACTACTCTACTAAGATCTTACCATATGAAGTAATATAGAAAACTGTATTATATTGAACTACACAGTATCTTAATGCATTCCGTCAAGTCAAATATCCTATATGGCTTTAATAGAAAAATGTATTTGAAGCATCGTGATGCATCGAGGAATCGAATCGCAGACATGATAATCGTAATCGAATCGAATCGGGAGATCAGTGACAATTCACCCCTCTAATAGACACACTACATTTTTTTAACCAGATAGCACTAACCACATATTTTGGTCATAATTGACCCCTGTACTGCTATGTGCTAGGCTTGTCCATGTTGAAAAGGCAACCACATTTTGAAGATGGTTAAAAGATAAAAGCAACATATACAGTAGGGTATTTAGTCACATCTTAAGATAGCTAGTTAACTAACATTTTGCTTCAGAGTAAAAACTAGCTAACTAACCAGATAACTAGCTAGCATAGAATTAATGTATATGAGCTAGGGTGGCCATTTGTCCGGCTTTAGGCCGGACAGTCCGGCTTTTAAAGGCCCTGTCCAGCTGCAGGCAGCCTTAAGCCGGACACTCATTTGTCCTCCTTTTGAGAAAATAACTAAAAGGTTCGCCTTTTGACACATTACCTCGTTAGTTTAATACTTATTGGCTAAAAATGTGTCAGACTAAGTAATTTCATTGGTTACATTTTGTGTCCTGACCTTTCAACACATGGCTCATTTTAATATTCAAATGAGCCATGTGTTGATTGGCTGATCACTGCAGTTGCTACCACCAGGCTGTCAATCAAGCTCTCAGCGACAGAGAACATAACATGAGCTAACGTCGGTTGTTGGACTGAAATTCTGAAAATGCTCATACTCATATGTAGATAGGCAAAGCCTATACATCTGAAACAGAAGGTGCTGCATTTTTTTCCCCTTTATCTATCCAGATAAAAACATTAAGAACAGTTTCTGTATGATGTTTATTAGACCTATGTAATCTGAATTGGAAGGGCACGTTGTCATGAGCTGTATCTTGTATATTTATTATTAGCTATGTGGTATGTGTATGCACCTTTATGTAATCTGGTGGAAAAACATTAAAATTTAAAACCGGATCATACCAAACAAATATCTGCTTGCGTGTCCCCGTGTATGCAAAGTGTCCTCCTTTTTGATGTGAAGGAAATGGCCACCCAAATATGAGCCAGCTAGTTAGTTAGCATTTTGCTAACATTAGCTAACTTAAAATGCGACCATGTCACTTAATCTTTTAACCATCTTCAAAATGTGGTTGTCTTTTCAACGTAGACAAGCCTAGCACATAGCATAAGTACAGGAAAGAAGGGAGTTGACTGAGGTTTGCTCAACTGTCACTGCAGCACAGAGAAAAAATGGGCAGGACTTAGGAAGGCTCAATTCCTGAAACAAAAAATGTAGGGATCTTTATAAAAAAACAATGAAGCAGCCAAAAAACTGTAATCAGGTACTCTCAATATCAATTATTTGTCAGACTCTAACTCACGGCTCAGGTGTGTACCATTTACTCTGCACTGTTAACTTTCTCTGAAATCTACAAACAAGTTAGTTTGTATATCTGGGTTCAGCGCATTCACTGTGTTCAATATGTGCTGACCACAACTTGCCAACTCGGTCTTTTAACAACAGGAGAGTAGTGCTGCGGCTCATGTGAATCCATTCCTACCTGAGGGAGCGCAGCATGGACCCACTGTTGTTGTACATGTTCTGAGAGCCTGCTGGGCTCAACAACAAAGGACTCTGGGAGCGAGATGAAGAACCAGATGATGTGCTATCCAGGTAGCGGCCTCCTTTGGAATGGCAAGAAAGAACAGAAACACAAAATTACATAGAGATGCAGTTACAGTGGTTTAATCAGTGCTTGGCTGGGTGTAAAATCAACAATTGTTAAAATGGAGAGAGATTAAGTAATTATTTAGATGATAGGTAGCAAGCAAGCATAATGGTCTCTTAATATGTGTTCTATAAAAAGACTAGTGCAGGGAATAAACATTTCACAAATTTCAGTCTGTAGTGAAACAGAAGCCTTCAGTGATTTGCTGCTGCTACAGATGGCTCCAGTGGCACTGAGGCTCTCCACTGAACCTGTATCGTCCTGTTGAACATTTCTTAAGCCTGAGCGACTCTAAGCACTGAATAATACCCAATATGCTGACCAAAACTGCAGAGCAGCCCGAATATCCACCACACATGGTTTTTTTTTTTTCAGTATTTTTCATCCACTGCCTGGGGTAAACATCTGCTTCTTTCCTATCCTTAGTTCCAAAGGTAACTCTCACAGTGGGGAGCTTTCTCATGCTGAAAATCTGCAGTACACTAAGTCACATATTTTATGGATATTTATTATATTCAACAAATACACAACTACTGATAAACTGTACAATAAACCCAATTGATGAACACACTAACTGCAGGAAGTTTGTGTAATGTTTTAATATCTTTTTTCCTGCGAATATTATGTTATATATATATATGATATGTTTATACAATTTTCTGTCTATATTATTTTTATTTTTTATTTTTAACAATCATACTTACTTACTACTTACTTTGACAAAATGAAGCCATTTATCAGAGAGTGAAGGCTCTGTGAACATAGCTTGTGTTCAGGTCTTTAAAGGTAAGATCCTAAATATTAATCCAAACTTTACAACATCATATATAGCTAAATACAAAATTTGGGCTGAACGCATCCTACTTGCCTGCCACCATGTTGGTCTCCCCAACTATAAACCTTTGATTTCCGGTCATCAACACGTCATGTAAATTGTTTTTTTAAGCATAACTGCCCCTATAGTAAATTATCTCACCATGTCATCACTGAGCACACAAGACTGCACACGTGCTGAAGCTGTGTTTTAACAAATCTGTACCAGCTGGCTGCCTCCTTACCGACTGAAACAGATGTTGGCAATTGTGTAATGGACAAGTGCACTTGTCATAAGCCATTTTTAAAGGCAGACTTGCTCCAGCTACCCTTCAGGCTTAGTGCTCTGTCAAATATAGACTCTTGGGGTTTGTTTTACATAGAACTGTATACATACATGATGCAGTTTGCTGAGGCATTTTGTGTTTTGAAACAAAGAAATTCAAATGAGAAGGAGATCTGTAACATTAAAATACAATGACTGCTTGTTGAAAAAACTGAATATGTATATCAGGACAACATAGGGATTTGCCTACCTTGCTGGATAGGAGAGTTGCGTGTTGATCCTGTGCTGCCATTAGATCCATACTTCTCTAGCAACTCAGCAAATTCTTTCCTATTCAAAGAAACCAAAAGAGAAACATTATTTTGAAAAGAGTGGTCATGGACAAGATGGAAGAACTAACCTTGATTATAGTTACCAGTAGAATCTGTTTTACTGATGGACAGAATGACAGTCATTTGGGTTTACTGGACCAAATGAAAAGTTAAATAATTGATAAGAATAAGATAAGGTAAATGGCCAACCATCAGACTATTTACAGGTGTTTAAACCTAAATGAGAGGCATAGGTATAATATAGACATAGTAAAATTCAGACATGATTAGGTGTGGCAGCTGTGGCTCAGAGGCAGAGCGGGTTCCATTTACCATGGTAAATGGAACCTGATTTTTTATGATTAAATCAAATACAACATATATTATGTAACAGTTAGGAAACCATGTCCTGTTGCTTCATCAGAAATGGAAACCTCTTGTTAACTGCTTTTATGACTACTGTTGACCTGATACTATATTTAACAATCTGAAAAGCGAGTTCAACAAAATGAATAATCTTAGCTACACAGTTTCATAGGAAAACAATATATACTGACTGGAAACTGTATCAGATTCCTCTTAGAATATCATCTACAACCCAACAATGTGATATCCCCTATGGATGATGACTTGAATGTGGCATTTCTAAACAAATTATGATAAGTGGTCACATTGGCTCCAAAAAAGGACAAAAAAAAAAGTTGACCCCAGAATGCACCTCTTTCATAACCAGCAGCTGATGATTGGGTTAAAGGTGCCACCGGCAGGGCCGGCTCATTCAGTCCATGCTGAAATGGACTGTTGATTCTGGACGTCTAAAGGCATTTGGACCATTAGGCTTCCATGCTATTAGTTGCCGTCAATGTACCCACCGCTCTTTGGCGTAGGGGTTGTGTTTGGCTGTATGTATGCCTACGATGTAGAGATGTACCGATTACAATTCTCTTGGCCGGTTCTGATCTTCTTTCTTTCAACTATAACTGACAGCATACACACAACGTTTCAACAACTTTTCTTTAAGGAAAAATTACAGACTGTTAAGCTTTACCTCAAAACTTCATACATTTTTATTTTTTTTTATTTTTATGACTAGTTTATACATTTTTATTTTGTTTTCAAAAAGGTTGCATAAAGAAAGTTTATCTAAATTGTTTTCTACAACCCTGCATTGTATATGACAATAAAACACTGAATAACAGAATGGACAGAGTTTTTTGTACAAATAAAATTCAACTGAAAATGATTAGTTTACTCACAAATTACTTGAATGTGCTCGCCTTACACACAACCTCTCTTACTGCATACACACCAGCTTGCCCCACCCCTCCTCTTTCTGTTTCTGTCTCCCAGCATGTGTCTGCTCTGTTGACTACCAGAATGTCAGCAGTATGTTTTACAAAGTCACCCAAAGAACACGTTACAGATTCCGTTCCGTGCCTGGGTTAAATTTTAAACACCTGAAGATGTTCCAAATGTAGGGGTTAAAAGGGTTTTTCTGTCATCTTAAAATGAACAGTTCTGATATATTAATGCAGACATCGAACTACACATAATGGTCCAATCCGCGTTCCATAACATTCTAGTGTCAAACTCTGCACATACGTCATTCTGCACAGTGAAGCAATTATCACACTGACTTTTGACTATTATTAACAACAACAACAATAATAACAATAATATTATATGTACAATGAATAATTAGACTGGTTCCAGCTCTATACCATTTCACAAGCTACGCAAGTTGACTTGCTAATGGAAACATTTCTATCAGCTAGAAACTCTATTTAATCTTGTTGTTTCTGGTGATGAATTTTGTAGTGTGTTTTGTTAATCAGTAGGCTTCATTGAGGTTATGATAAGAGTAACATGATTTGATTTATAACATTTATATAATACTTTCCAAGGCTCTCACAGCTGGTAAGCATGTCGCTAGTGCTAAGCTAGTTTTGACACCCCCCCCCGTCAGCCACTCTCCCCCCTCCAGCTCCTCCACTCTGGGCTGCAGGGTAGTTAAAGCACAGAACCCAGATTAACACACAAAAGGCTCATCTCGTCAGGAGGACTGCCCTAGGTTTAGCTGCTTCATTCCTCTGAGCAATGCAAAGACGAAGGGGCGCGGGGGGGGTTCATGAGAGTCCATCATTAGAGTAATAAACACCTCCAAACTACACTACAGACAATAGTCATGTTTTAACCTTTTTAAATCTGAAGCTGTCACTTCACAGCCTCACATTCATGCACTTGTACATATTCATATTAGGATCTGCCCAATAAGTCCACTGCTACTCATGGCTGTGTCACAGAGATATTACCACTATTAACTTCTAATTTCTGACACATATCCTCTCTAACAGCCTAGGTGTAATCCTGCCTGTGTCAGAGTCAGAGTCTTCACTGAGGATTACACTTGCAGGCAGAAAGTACCACTTTTTTAAGGAAATATCAGGGCCGACACGTATGTGTGCAACAATCTTGTTCGTTTAAATATGCAAAACTACCTCAGTTTACAGTTAAGGATGATGTGGTCTGAAGTGGATCTCAGGGGAAGATGCTAACAGCTGGCACTGACCTTGTTTTCAGCCAAACTGGTCACAGTTGGATTAGAAAGCTGGTCGAACACTAATACCAGCCTCTGCCATCAGTAATGCCAGTGCTGCAATGTCAGTACGCGCTGATATATTTGCCTTGTTATTTACTGGTTATGTTAAAATTATCACAAAACTCTATGCATTATGGCTGGTGTGGTAGCAGGTCAGCAAAAGGCTCCATAATCCAACATGTCTTCTAGTTCTGCTCTGTTTCATTACAAATGAACCAAGACGAGTAAACACAAAGTAATACTGAATGACAGATAACTCATTCATTGGACAGTTTACTGAACCTGGTGTGTTTATTTATTATATTATCATCTCTGATGTCAGAAAGAGCTTAAAAACAAATAACTGATAATTTGGAGAATATTTGGAGACTGTGACGAATAAAGGAGAGGTAGAAACAGGACGAAAAAGAGGCAATTTGTAACAATACTGCCGGTGAATAGTTACCAAGTGTGTTTCCATCCACCTGTTTTATGCATATTTTCAATTAAACCAAGGAGGAGCTATTATGAGTTTCCTTAGTTTCTGTCATATTTTTACAATGTCGATCTGATAGATCGAAAATATGCCTGGAAATGCAAAAGCGGTGCCAAAATGGCACATTAAATTCAAAATGGACTTCCTGGTGGGTTTGGGGTATAGGTCAAAGGTTTTTTTTTTAACACTGACATGATATATGTGCCTACCAATTTTCATGTCAGTGAAACAGGCCTTGTGCTGTTTTATTGGAATCTTGTCGGGGGTGCTATCGGGCCATTTTGCCACACACACGCACAAGACCGATATGAAATGTTTTTTGTCACGTTCATAGATTTTCGAGCAAACTGTTAACCCAAATCGACTGTTGCCGTGTTGCCATGGCACCAGGGTTCCACAAAACTCACAAGATTCATAACATATTATCGTCAATGTCTTACTAAGTCTACTGACCAGCTGGATCTGGTCAACCTGCAAGGACATGAAGGTATAAAACATGTGATTTCCTGTTGCCAGTAGTTGGCACTATGACTTAATATTTGCATGTAGATGTGTTTAGGGACAGACTCTTATCAGAAATATGCATTTTGGTGCCAATTGGACAAAGTACACTGAAGTTACAACAATGTCCTTTTGCATGGTGGTACATCAAAATTCGACAAGCCTTTCAACAAAAATTCAATATTTTGATAACTACTCATCATGATGGTCTTTAGAATGCACTGACCAGATTTGAAATGAACCCAAATGATCAATTCTCTAAGAGGACTTTGTAAAGTATGTGTGAAAATCGCCTAAAATGACCACCAAATTCCAAATGGCCAATTGGACATGTTCCGGCTGCCAAACATGCGAGTCATTGTGAGAAATAATAATCCCAGCAGTTTCAGTAGGGTCCTTGCAACAGTTACTGCTCTGGCCCTAATTATGGATCCCTTGACAAGCACCGTGTGAAGCAGTGTGCCACTGTATGAATATATACATTGACATTTTGCTTACTTTGCTTCTTCATCTCTGGCTATGAGAAGGCGCATGTGATTGGTTGCTGAGGCTGCTCTCAAGACATCCACAGCTCTGTAAAACAAAAAGAGGGACAAAAATACATTTACATTATTGCTAAGCCATCACCTCAGACAATTGTGGTTACAACAATAACATGAGCAGTAAGACTTTACTGGACTACCTTTCACTTGTGACTCCTACTAGACTGTCCCCGTTCACCTCCAAGATCTGGTCCCCTGGCATCAGGTTTCCTGTCAGAGGTCAAAGAACACAGTGGAGGTATCAGCGACAAGTAGCATTAAGGGAACTATATATCTGAATTGTAAATGACAATTTAATAATTTTGTAATCATTGTAATTTGTACTGTATTGTAATATAGTATCGTTCAATGGTGGGAAAACATTTCTGGTGAGGATGGACAAAGATAACAGAGGATTACTTACATACATATGTGCTGTCAAACGATTAAAATATTTAATTGCGATTAATCGCATTCATGTCATAGTTAACTCGCAATTAATCGCATTCATGTCATAGTTAACTCGAATTAATCTCAATTAATCGCACATTTTTATCTATTCTAAATGTCCCTTGATTTCTTTTTGTCCCATTATTTTTTCTCATTTTAATGCTCTTATCAACATGGAAAAGTGGATCGGCTTGCTTTGTGCAAATGTTGTTTTTAGTGAAAAATCATCCATTGTCGCCTGGCTTTGACGAGGGGGCGGAGAATATGCATCAGCTGTGTGCTTGGCCATCAAGTGGTATTTCAGACTGGACGTGCTGTGATGATAGCTCAGTTCACAACGACAGAACACACAGATCACTTCGGTCTTGTCAATGGAACCATTTGGCAACTTTTTAAAAGTAAACTTTCCATTCAGAATATTATTGGCATCCATTTCGGCCTCTCGCGCTCGCCATCCACTCAAAACGTAACATCTACTACTCTTAAACAAGTGTGTGCGGTGTTGTTTTGTTTGCGGTCTAGATAGATCCGGTGTGGTGTTGTAGTTTTTCTAACGTTACTAGTTATTGCAACAGCATGTGAAAAAAACTACAAAGTGTGCTAGGTCAAAAAAACACTGTGATTGGACACATAGCTTGAAGCCTGGCAAGACGGATTCTCGTGTGATTTCATGATGTTGCAAGTCCAGTTGCCTCGCGGGCTTAGTAAAGCCTCATTCTGTTGTAACTGTTTGAAGTTGAAGCTATGAGCTATGTGTATCTTTCAGCAAACATTTCACAGGCTTTTGTCTGGCATTGATAGAATTGATACTTTGATACCAATCCGACACAAAACTGTACTTAAAGTAAGTTTAAGTAAAATTTAAATACTTTTAAATACAATTTTCCTAAAAAAAAAAGTCCAAAGTCAGACCTGCAAATGACATCACACCTAAGCTGATCGTATTCCAGTAAAAAAGAGTCAGAAAACCAAGCTCTAGTCATTTTTTAGCAATACCTGTTGATAACAACACATTATGCTATATATTGCTCATACAAACAGACGTAAGTTGGACAGTACTGTGTGTACAAACTTAATGAGACACAGAAGACAGAAGTGCTAATAAAGAGTATATAACTACAGCTTTCACTTAGTTGCAGCATGGAGCAGCCATCTTGGACACTGTTCACAGTCCATAAAACCAGTAAAGTTTCAGGATACACTGTGCACAAAGATAAATAAACTGTGTATGGCCTCAAACATTGGAGACACCACAGCAACACAACATACAAACCGTGTGTATGGTTATTATTGATGATGCTACTTTCTTTCCATGGTCTCTACACTGCCGCTAACTTCTTTCCAACCAAACAGAACACCAGCTGATACCACACTGAAAATAGACGATGCAGTCTTGTGATGGAAGTACAGTGTGGGAATGCTTCACAATAACATGTTCCACTGGCCTACAGTCACTTGAGACATCCTGGAATTGTCCTTAAGAAACACTCCACATTTTTCTAGCTCTTGTCTCACTCCTCTTTGTTTCTTGGCCAGCAGTATCAGACTTTGAAGATAATCTCTGTGACGGACTTTTATTCACTGCAGCTTTGCATGTTAAATTTTTCATTTGGATTTTTAAACATTTAGCTGGTGATCTTATCTGGTGAGATTTTTAAGAGCAAAGAACAAGTAGAATAACCAAGTGTAAAAAAGGATAAAATAAGATCCACTGAAGGTACAATATGATATGATCTACTGTTTACATGCTGCTGGGCAAAGCCCAAATGACTTGAAGGTACTCTTGATCTTGTTTTTGTTTAATGGACTGCTAAATATGCTCAATATACCCATATGGTAAATGGTTAATTGACCTGTACTTGTATAGCGCCTTTCTAGTCTTCCAACCACTCAAAGCGCTTTTACACTACGTGCCACATTCACCCTTTCATACACATTCACTCAGTGATGGCAAAGTCCATCAAACAGAAACTAATCATACATACACATTGAATGCACGGCATCAGGAGCAATTTGTGGTTCAGTATCTTGCTCAAGGATACTTCGACATGTGGCACCAGGAGCCGGTGATCGAACACACAACCTTCCAATTAAGGAACAACCCGTTCTGCCTCTGAGCCACAGCTGCCCTTCCATAGTCAGAAGGCCTTCTGGCATTTGCCCAATTTCCAGATGGCCAATCCTTTACTGACCACGGCCGCAGGGCTTGAATGTTTTTAATTGGATTAATATTGGAATATTGCAGGTCTTTCGTGTGTAGTCATTGGGAATGAACAAACGATATGAAATCTCAGTCAGTGAACAGTTCAAAGATGAGTTTTCAGTCTAGAGGCACTGCTGTTCTCACTGCAGTAGAAATATCATACCAGGTTAACTCGGGAAAGACATAGCTAAGCTTTTCCATCTTCATACATGCAGCTGAGTGAGAGAGCACTGCACGGGAAGAATCTGGCAACTTTAAGTGACAAGTGATAAGAACTGAAACCTGGTTAGGATGGTGTTGTCCATGTTCCTGTGTGCTGTGTGAGTGTATCAAAATAATCTCACACACAAAACAGTTCTCTGTTTCACCCTGAAATCTGTGCTGTGCCCTATATCCATCACTTTATGGCACAGAGAAAGAAAAGAGAAAGTAGGCCATGTTATGGTGTATTTTATTCATGTTTTCATACATGAGAGACCAAAAATACTAGCTCTGTCACTCAAGAGGTCATCAGTCTGTCAGGGTACTGTGGTGTCCAGCCTTCACTTCTATTCTATTCCTTATTATTTCATTCAAGTCCTTCTCAAGCTGTTCTCTACACTTTAATAACTAAAGATTTCCAACCCTTTCTTGGTACTAAACAGCTAAATTGCATTTGGACTTAACAGATTTTGTGCAAATAATGATAAAAACAAAGTGTAAAACGGCATGTTTTTTTTCTTTTTCTAAAATATGTATTTTAAGGCGTTGCTGTAAAATATGGGCAGAAGAACCAGGAAAAGGAGCAACAACCTGTTATTTTTCACATGATATTTCTGTGTTTCCCACAGTGGCCTCCTGCTTACTTTTAATGTTTCACAGCAGCACCAGTCCCATTTTTAAGAAGGCCTTTATATTTAGCCTAGCCTATTTTTAACAGAAATAATCTCATTAAAGAACTTTTAATCAAAAATCTGTGTAGCCGGTAACAGTAATCAACAGGATGAGGGCCACTGTGCTAGAGGGATACAAACACCACCTTGGCACTGCGAACTCAATGGGACTACAAATCACCTTGCATCACAAGGAGTCAGCACTTGCCACAAACTAGGGTTGCAGCACGATATGAAAACTGACGGTTAACATACCATGTACATTTGCTTATTTATGGTATTGAGTTCTGCAATGTAAGTGTTGTTTCGCATTAGTTCATCTTTTCTCCACTCTACACAAACGAAGCACCTCTGCATCACCATGCCGCTGACAGGGCAAAGCAGTCGCACTCACATAGGAACATCACACTATCAGAGCGAGGGCACAACATTTTCTGTCAAATCACTGACTGTACATGTTGATGCAGAGAAAAATTTACTTTCCTGTAGGGCTGCCCCCTAATAGTCGACCTAACCATTAGTCGGTGAGAAGAGTTGTCCTCCTTTTCATCAGTCAGATAGCCGCAGAAAAACAAAAACATCTGCGACCTGTATCAGAGGATTACTGCAACACAGACCTTTTCTCTAATAACAGAAGTCTTACCGGTGCGCTGTTGCATATGCTAACTGTGTTACTACTACCACTAGCCAATTATCATTCCTATTAGCTGACTGTACCCGGACTGAGAGCTGGAAGGACAGGGGGACCCAGCGGGGAATACTACCGGGGAACGCACAACTTGAATGGGCTCACAGCCTCAACGGAGGCCAGCTGATTTCAGCAGTTGCGACCAAGACTCTGACTCTGGGGATGAAGACACAGCGGGTTCAGGCAGCGACAGGAGAGGAATGAAACAGAGAAAGAAGAGCCAGTTTGTAGCCAGATAATTTGAAAATAACTGTTAATATTATCCATCATTCATTGCATCAATAGGTTTACCAGTATTTGTTTTAGTGAAGTTGGAAGTTTTTTATTCTGTGTTTTGACATGGATGTACATATATTTAAACAATTAATTAATATGTAATTAAAATCAATTAATATCATAAACGTGGAATGACTTGTCGACTATTGGCTTTATCTAACAACTAGCTGACTTGGAAAACCTTTAGTCGGGAGCAGCCCTACTTATCTGCAGGTCTGTGTTCTGCTTGTTCCACAGGTGTGCAACGAATAGATCATAATGTCTTCCTTTTGTTGCACTTACGGATATGAGCACTGTCATCGTTAACTGTAGTAAAATATATCATAAAATGTGTCTCATTCCCTCCACCGTGCACATTGTAACTTATGATAATACAACTGTTACACTGAACATTTTCGGAGATGGGTATCGTACCGTGAAAATCTCATACCGTTACAACCCTACCACAAACCATTCAAAACCTGAAGATCTCTGCTACAGCACTCAGATGGCCAGATTTAACCTCAGATGTCACTTTCTTCTGCCCTTTCTCACAACAGTATTAGACAGAAAAACAGAGAGGGAGGGAGAAAAGAGAGGAGCGGAGAGAGAGGGTCTGAGTCTTTCAGGTCAAGGACAATGGACTTCAGGTATCCGATGTCAGATTCAGGAAACCTGCTCAGACTCCCAAAGCTGTTACCTCCAAAAATCCATTCATGAATTACACTTTGCAAATTATCACACCTCACTGAGTTCATATAGG